AGGTATAAAGTAAAAAGTTGTTCCTCGGCAAACAATGGAAGCGGGGGAGTAGTTTCCGGAGCAGGTCATGATATTTCTCGTTAAATACAAATTCTCTAAAAATGATGTAACTTAACCTGTAAAAAAATGATGTAACTTAAACATGACGTCAATAACATGTATCAATGCAGTGACAAGTATTGTCTTATTTGATACTTTCCAATTTCCCTGATGTTTAAAAAGCGATGTTTTATACAATCATCTAGATTCTGGTGAAGAATCGTCAATGGGGGGTAACGGCACTATCGGTGACGCAGTATGTGGAGATTCATACTGCCGGGGATGTGGTTAGATTAGATGGTCCAGGAGCGAAACAAGTTACAGTACGTTACTGTATATACATATGTCTTATATAATTATATTATTTAGTTCTTCAAAAGCTAGCTAGCTATAAGTGCACCGATAGTTTTGTCTGTAAACATACACGTAGAATAAATATATATACATTAGTGTCCTCTTCATCGCACATCCTGTTTTCCGTTTTCGAAGTGGAAATTGTTTCGAACCCTTTTTGAACTTTCAAAATACAATCGCCTTATTGTCATGTTGGCTCTCAAAGGCTTATCATCAATTTAAATGCCTCATTAAATGAGACATTTCTTATCGGTTGCTTTATATGTCTAAAATGTGCCTCTAGGTGAATGGGAATCCGCTGCCAGCAGGGAGTCTACCCTATAACACACCATGGTATACTGCCAATGTAGTAGGCAACACGATGACATTTGAGAGTACACCGCTAACCCTAAAGATAGAGTTTATCATCCATCCATACCCCAGTCCACCATGGACACCCGGTTACGGCGACGTCTATGTTACATTAGGGCGACAGTGGATGCAAATGGTCTGTATCTGATATATCGTACCATATGGTTCTTATTGCTTAAATTGGTAAATAAAATTATTTCAAGCGATCCGAATGAGAATCGTTGATACTAATTAAATTGACAACAACGTCTTTGGCATAACTTTTTTTATTTGCTGCTTCACTTGAAATAATGAAATCTCGTCCTTGTGATCATGTGCCCCTCTATGTTGTACAGGTTGACGGACTGTGTAAGAATTATGATGACTCTACGCCGAATGACTGTTCGGATAAAGAAGGAAATGATTTGACGGGAAATCCTAACAAAGGAACATTACTTGGAATCAGTTACAAAGTTTTCGACCCAGAAGATCCAAAGTGAGTCTTAACGGTAACTGGTCAACTCAACCCCAAGTCAACTCAACCCAAGTCAACTCAACCCTTAGTCAAGTCGACCCCAAGTCAAGTCGACCCTTAGTCAAGTCGACCCCAAGTCATCTCGACCCTTAGTCAACTCGACCCCAAGTCATCTCAACCCTTGGTCATCTCAACCCTTAGTCAACTCGACCCCACCATAAAAAATCAAATAGATATACTATTTTCATGGTATGATATTGATGAATTTTGAAAGAATGAGGGACTAAAATGCTAATTTTCCAAAATAAAATTATCAACTATTGAAGTTTGTGCTTAACGCATTTATAATTTTTATAAATAACAAAATAATATTTGATTAATCTTAATAGGACTTTTCACGATGCTATACATATATTTCACCCCTTAATATTTGAGCTTGTTTGATCTCTCTGAAATAAAAAAATTATCTATACACTTTTCTGTTATACCGAAATTGTTGCAACAGTATTTTTGACAACAGGTAACTTATGCAACATGTGCATTGTGCCAACATCCATCCATTACTTTGTATTGAATGATTTTATATTTTGATAATAATAATAAACAATTTGATCCGGTTCAAATCTTCCTTCTGATCTACAGGCGATAGAAATGTTTATCTTTTTGAAGTAAGATTTTAAAACAAGACTGAACAAACAATGGGATTTATGTTTTTCTATTTTCCATTATCTTACTCATATGTCAGGTGTCATAAACAATCAGATTGGGATTTTATGATCCAGTTTAAATCTTCGTTTTGATCTTTAGGTGACAGAAATGTTTTTTTCTTTGAAGTTTGATTTCAAATCAAACTGCACAAACAATTGGATTATATTGTATTTTAATCTACTTAAAACAAGTAAAATCATTTGGGTCGACTTGACTAAGGGTTGAGTTGACCAAGGGTTGAGATGACCTGGGGTCGAGTTGACTAAGGGTCGAGATGACTTAGGGTCGACTTGACTAAGGGTCGACTTGACTTGGGGTCGACTTGACTAAGGGTTGAGTTGACTTGGGTTGAGTTGACTTGGGGTTGAGTTGACCAGGAAGCGTCTTAACGAGGGGGGGGGGGCATTCAGCAATTAAGGATGGAGTATTCTATTCTTAAACACATTGATAATAAATCCTTGATCCATGTATCTGTACGATCCATAAACATCATTAGCATTATAAAACACAGAGCCCTCTTTTTATTGTTCAACATGTATTGTAATGACTTCAGTAAGAAAATAGCCCTTGGTGTTATTGTAGTATTGGTACTTAAATGGTGGGTTAAGGATTTTAGAGACAGTTTCTTTTCACGTTGAATTATGATTCGGAATATGGGGCTTATTTTTCTTATGAATGGCGTATTCTTTGATGTTTTCTTTTTCTTGCTGTGTTGTGTAACCATTTTTTTTGGTATAATCTTTTTGGCACCTGTGCTTTCTTATTAAGCTTAACTACCAATTTGTCATGCTGGATACCTGTCTTTATGAGGAATTTCAAAGCTTATGAAACATATTTTTGATATTATGGCTAATTAATAGGTACAAATTAAACAAGGACATTTAAATAATAGGTAGGATAATATACATTTGCATAAATCATATTTGTTCAATAAAAATGCCGATAGCCAGAATAGTCTTAACTGCAAAAACTAAATGATCTGGACATACAAACCCTAGAACGCACTTGTAAACGCATTTACACACGTCAAGCATTTCCAATTTATCTTATATTGCATGACATAAATAAGGATAAGTACCATGCTAATTAAACATCTGTTATATTACCTTCCTGGAAGCCTGTCTAATTTCATAACTAACGTGTCACATTGTCTAGGTGTGTTGATATGCTGACAGCAATTGCTCACATCTGCAGAGGATCAGTTCTGAAGAATGTTAACAAGTTTTGCTCCACAGTCGTCAGTGCAAATGGTTTCTTCGATAGATGTGTAAGGATGTAAGTTTACAGATCCTTTCAGCCCTTTACTTTCCAATATATTTCATCACATTCAGTGAAATTTTGTTATTGAAGTTCATCAACCTGGAAAGCGTTATTTACTGACAAAATACAATGGTTTGATCAGAGTTGAAGAATATCAAAAACAAAAATGATAATTAGATTTAACTTTAAGGATGACACCAACAGAGAGGAAGACATGGGTGGCAAACTGTAAGATGGACTATTGCGCAGCACAAGACGCAAAGTGTGACATTCTAGAAGCGTTTGCCGTCAGATGCAGAGAGAAGGGACAGAATATCAAAGGATGGAGGGAGCATTTTAAGTGTCGTAAGTACTATACTGTCTATACTTTTAAGGATGTCCTGTGGACAAAGTTGAAACTTTAGAACTTACCCCTAGGTTTCAAAATGTAAAGTAACTAAATGTTTCTGTTTTACGAACAAATTAACTACCCCCATATAGTGTGTTTAAGGCGAATGTCCATATTGTTGACTATGTTTCAATTATTATGATGTATTATGATGTTTTTATTTGTTATTGATTATTGTATTTACTCTTGTTTTAAGCTATTCGGTGTCCACAAAATGAGATATTTTTGTATGATGGTCCGGGATGTGAAGTTCAATGCTCAGAGAAAGAGCTATTTTGGTGTGTCGACCATGGTAGAGAGGGCTGTTTCTGTAGAAAGGACTACATAAGATGCAAAGGAAAATGCATCCCATCCAGACCTAAGAGAATTTTCGAACCATTTATTATTAATCCTAAAAGTTAAAACTGATAAGAATCATTTGAATTAAAATATAATGCTGTCTAAATTACAAAATTCGTTTGTAAAGTATGTACGGCAATGGATTCAGTCAGGGTTCTGGTTACAGGAATAATTTGTAAGCCATGTGACATATGAATCCTGTATGATTCCAAATGGCTGGATTCATTTGTAAACTATTTGACACATGAATCCTGGACGATTCCCTGTGTAACAGGAGTACAAATCCCCTTGGAAAATAAGTCCGTGGTAGGACTCCTAGGATTCCTAGGAACCTTTGTAACGGTACCTGACTTCACCGTTTTCAGGCTATTCCGGGGTGAATAGTGGCACGTTATAAAACCTCAGTCGATAGGATTCCCATGTGTGTTCAATAGTTCATCATATCGCTGCCAAACCTTTCCTTACTAATCTGATTATGGAGAAAATTTCGTATCCAACAAGTTTTATATCAACATCAAGTTTTAAAACGAATGGGGAGAACTGTACGACATTTTAGATAGCTATCATATAAATATGAGTTAGTTCATTTACATTCATGCACAAAATATGAAATGTAGATTTAATGTCCTTTCCTACTTCCCAGGTACACAGTTCAAAAACCAATTTCCTTAATAAAAATAATTCTCATTACCACGTATTTTAACTACTGAAAGAACATCGACATGCCTTTTTATAGTTAATTTAAAAGTCACACAACAAATGTTGCTGTTGTATTTTCAAAAGATACAAAAATGAACAATTGGCAAATAGCAATTGATATACTTACCATATATCTCATATATTAAAACCTTAATTTACACAGTATTAGATTTATAGTTTTTAATTCACAAAACTACAATATAAGTCCGCTTTCGCTTTTCATTTCCAAACAAATATGGTTGATGATGTTGACTTTTATATTGATTCATGGTTTACTATTATTGCAACCATTCATGATGACCTATTTGATATTGCAATTTATCTGAGTGTGTATTTATGTGTGCATTTATTAAGGAGTATCTGTATAACTTGATGCATTCGAATTTTTGTATACAAGCACACTACAAGATGTCGTTTAGGCATCTTGTGTACTCGGCTGGCTTCTTGTTTGTGACAATATGTAAGTATACCTAATTTATACAAATATCGGATGGACATAAAAATGGGCCGTACTTTATTATCCTTTGTATAAACCCTTTCAAACATAAGCCATTCAAATGACATGATGTCGTTAAAATTCTGGGGAAAACTTGGTTAAAGTTCCGTGAACAATGTGATCATAAAATGGAAATGACAGGTTCAGTTGAAAAGAAATCAGGCAGTGGACCCAAGAACTACGACAGAATAGAAAAACTCGCTGACAAAACGTTGATGATAAGTTTTTGACTTAAAATTTGAATAAAATTGGCTTCACGGATGAAAAATACTTTCAAATTGATGTTCTACGCAATAGACATATGATAGCGTTCACGGCAAAAGAAGGCAGAGCATTCTTGTTAAGTGTCTCCTGGAAAAAATACTCAGCATCGATCAGTCGAGTACTTAAATCATTTTACGAAAAATACATTGGCGTACTAGATCAATTGCAAGAGAATCAAGAAAGGACATTATTATGAAATGTTCCCATGAACAAACATTCTAATGGATGAAACAAACATTCAGTCTGTATAAAGAACACACGTCTGGCTTTTATAAGTTTGCACTTTTTAGAAGCGGACGTAAAAGAGTTTTGGAGATATTAGAGATGATAAGATTTCACCTTTTGGACGACGTAAAACCTAAATCTGAACGTGTGCGCGAAACAAATTATGTAAAATTATGTTTAGGTTGTGAAAAACATTGCAAGCTTAAACTCCCTCATCTTAGAAACAATTTTCAGAGTACGCATTAATACAGATTCAGGTTTAGGTTGCCCGTGTATCTAACCCTACTATCACACCAAACTAGTTCTCACAACGTTCTCGAAAACGGGCTTCAACTGTGTACGAACGGACTGGACGTACTAAGAACCGTTTGGGGTCTATTTACAAACGTCATCGAACGTACTTGAACGGGTAGGTCCATTAGAACTTAGAACTTGCTCAAAATGCTCTCGTGGTCGTCAGGTTCTACAATTAGAACGAGCGACAACGTACTAACGACGAGCTGGACGTACTACGAACGGAACCGTCGTACTTCAATCCTACTAGGGACGTTTTTACAACGAGTTGAACTGTCTGGGGACGTATTGAGAACGAGGTAAAAATAATTGCAAACTGGTTTAAACTGATTAAGAACGTATTAAAGACTGCTTATGAACGAGTTAGCAAAAATATAGCTATCACACCAAACAAGTTGCCACTGCGTTCTTCAAAACTGGTTTTAGCTGCAGCTGTCTAAGGACTATTTACGAACTTCATGAACGTTCTCAGACGGGAAGGTGATTTCAGAATTTTGAAATGATTCAAAATTCGATGACGACCATACCGTTTTGTAATCAGGTCATGATGACCTTCTAGACTAAGGGACGACGTTGCACACCGACATGGTGCGACCTGAATGAACTGCGAATAGGATGGACGTATTGAAGACTGTTTATGAACGAAGTAGCTAATTACTTTAGACATATTTTCCGACCACAGTCAGATTGAGCCCGTTTTACAGCGTTATCGAAGGACTGGCAAGAACGAGTAAGAACTAGTTTGGTGTGACAGGGGGGTTATCTATCCTCTCTAATGTGTATCAAAGCATTAAATTTCAGTTTAGTTTCATGAGTGCTGAACTTTGTCTTTTCTCATTTGTACGAACAATGCAAATAGACGAGAAGTATCCTCGCAACAAAATGGTACTTACTACTAGTAAAACATCTAACTGTTTATATACATATAAATTAGTAACTTATAATAAAAGCTCTGTCAATTAAAAATATCAAAATCCTGTTTGTAGTGATCATTGATATCGTTGACGGCGCCAAGCTATGCACCAGAGGTATTTGCAAAGGTAAAAAAGCGGACTGTAAAAAGGCGTGTAAAGTTCCCAAGGTAATTGCATTTTTGAATGATGAAGCACAAATAAAATAACAAATCACAAACCAGGAGCATGTTACGGGATAAAATATCCAATGCAACTTAAAATAAAATGATACAGTTTATTAAACTTTGAAAATAATTGTATTGCGCAGTAGCTATTTGCTTGGACATGGAGTCAAAATTTGATCCAGGTCAAAAATCAAGAACTAGGTCAAATCCAGTATTTTGTAAAGACAATAAAACATGAGATTAAATTAAGGCAAGTTGAATACAATAGTCAATGGTGCATCACTCATCACCCGCCTTAGTTTAACAAGACACATAAAGAAGTACATCTACATATAAAGGATTTAATTCAGTGCATTGTGTGCTGAATCATTCTATGGAAAGTGTCGTTTCCAAATCTTTGCACGACCTTGCAGTGGGAATGCAAAGTTTAGGAAACGATGCTTGTGAGAGTGCAAACACAATGTGCAGCCACAATGCCTTCAGTCTTGGGCTTAAATTATTTTCACACATTGCAAAATATTTTCTACGAAATTGCCTACAAGATACAAAATCAGTACCTTGCCTAGCTATGTGTGAATATAACCTTTATTAACCCCCCTATCACACCAAACTAGTTCTTACCCGTTCTTGCCAGTCCTACGAAAACGTCGTAAAACGGGCTCAATCTGGCTGTGGTCGGGAAATATGTCTGAAATAATTAGCTTCTTCGTTCTTAAACAGTCTTCAATACGTCCATCTCGTTCGCAGTTCGTTCAGGTCGCACCACGTCGGTGTGCAACGTCGTAGAACGCGTCCCTTAGTCTAGAAGGTCATCATGACCTGATTACAGAACGGTATGGTCGCCATCGAATTTTGAATCGATTCAAAATTCTAAAATCACATTCCCGTCTGAGAACGTTCATAAAGTTCGTAAATAGACCTTAGAAAGTTGCAGCTACGTTCATTCCGTTTGCATACAGTTTAAAACCAGTTTTGAAGAACGCAGTGGCAACTTGTTTGGTGTGATAGCTATATTTTTGCTAACTCGTTCATAAGCAGTGTTAAATACATTCTTAATCAGTTTAAACCCGTTTGCAATTAGTTCTACCTCGTTCTCAACACACTGCGTGAAATATGGGATTCCAACTCTTGACACGTCTAGAAACTGGTCTTTACACGCCGGGTTTCTAGACGTGCCAATTATTTACACCTCTTGACACGCGATGAATTCAACTCTTTACATCTCTTTGCACTTCTTGGCACACGCAGTGCAAAGACGTGTAAAGACCATGTCAAAAAGTCTTTGCACGCCCTGTGACAATTAATGGAATCTCTTGACACGCTCTTGGCACACTGAACAACATAATTATGTGTAAACAACTAACCTAATTACCAATAGCAATACATACAGTATTTGCAGTGATTGCAAGTATTTTCTCATGTAGCAAATACATGTAGCAAATATTAAACAGACTATTTTGTATGTACGCTGACACATTGACTTATTTAAACATTTTGGCAATTTCATGCCGCCTTTTGAAAATATAAATCAGTTACAGGCAATGCTAATCGACGCATTGATCCTAAGTGAAGGAAATACATATCATGATAAGAAAAAGAAAGGCGTTTCAAGGATAAAACGTGCAATAAACTTTGAAAACACTGATACATCAGGCCTATTTATATATTTATTTTGTATTAGCTTAATATGAAGATAACCTTACTTTTCGATGAGTATTTGGATTTCGGAGTAATTTGTTTCAAGTTAAGTCAATACAAATTATCGCCGACTTAACTTGTGACCATACATATGATAAAAGAGGGGCATTTTAAAACACAATTGGGCAAAACAAGCATATTCAATCGAATGTACCATTCTCTCTGCTGTTCTTTCCCAGCCTATCCATAAACAGACAGGTACAAGTTCCCATAGTTTTCGCAACATCTAATTCTATGATCAATTGCTAGACACAGCAAATATACTAATTAATTGTCTGATTGTGATTCGGGAACGTAGGGTTTTTACATAAACAGGATACTTGGCTGTACATAGCCTGAGAACACCGGATTGACCCCCCCCCCCAATCGACGCCTAGGCGCTGCTTATGTTTTAATAAGAAACATTCCCTTGTAAAGAATTATCGGGATATGAATTGATACAAGGTCAAGTATTCTGCCCCTTTTGTGTGATAAAAAAATGTATTTAATCGGTGCTTTAACTTTTTGAACAAAGAAATGAAATAATCGCACTGAATGTCTCAACATAAATCAGTGATGTTTAATTAATAAATGACACTATTATGTCAGTCTACGCACTTCATGGACATGGACGGGGGGGGGGGTGAGTTACCCATTCTAAAATGGTTAAATTTTGTATTAAAGAGTAATCAATATGTCGTGAACTCCGATTGATAACCAACTGTAGCATTAATTTGTTTGACTATTGATATGTAAAAGGAGTGAATTTATGATATTCATAGAGGTACATTGTATTGGTATTAATATAATAATGATATTGGGGACCATAAACCACTTTGTTTCGCAAGTAGCTTTATGATCGCGGTTTTATCTTCACATGTTGCCCTTTGTGCAATTCGAAAATGAAATATTTTAATCTATAATTTATATATCATTTGCAAAATAAATGTAATTAAGAGACATGGGGGAGGGGGAGGGTTAACGGCCAGAATTTGGAATGAATTTGGGAATTTCAAGGATTGATTCACTTAATGTTGTTCACTGGAGTCGATACACACACATGCATAACAATCGGAGACAAAACTGACTTAATCTGATATGATAACAAAAGATTAATAACTTAGTCTATGTTTTTGTTTTTATAATTGCGGAAGTGTACCAAAACCACCTTGATTACAGAAGATATCGTCTAGGCTTTAGATTCAATGAATAGATTTTTTGCCCTAGTCTCATTTAATAAAACAGGCTATTTGCGTATTTAATAATTATTTGTGACAAAATATTTTAGTTAGACTCAAAATCAAAACGAATTTCTCCATTAAAGCCACCCTTGCAACTGTCCCGAGTCTGCATCTGTTTTTCATGCTTCCGATCCACCTTTGGGATAGAGAGAATAGATGAAGATTTGTAATTTGGGGGGGGGGGCATTAAATGTGTTCTCATACAAACTAAAATAAACCCCAAAAAGCCATATCAAATGTCCAAACACAAGACCAATGCCATGTCAAACATCCAAATATAGAACCAATGCCATACCCCCGGGTACCAAATATCCAGAATATAAGACCAAGGCCATTCGAAATATCGAATGCCCCGAGAAGAAGGCAGATATTTGAGTAAAATGATCATAAACAACCTCAAATGAAGGATATGTGTAACAACTAGACCAATGCCCCGGGACCAATGAGGGGTAACATATTTTCCACACCGATTCTTATACCAGAAAATGGAAAAATCTGTCTTAAAATGTGGGTCCATTGGCTTGACATACCAAATGTAAAAAAGGTACCCCACCTGAGCCGAGTGTGAACCCCCGGGGTGAATGGTGAACACACGGGGCAAGGAATTCTTCGATTTTGATTCAAGTAATTTTTTTATAAAATTCATACTCATGTTAATAGCGGACGCCTTGGCCAAATAATCTTTCAAATCATGCACTTTCCAAGTGATTTTGTAGCAAAATTGTGATAATATATGAACCCCTTGGAATTATTCAAAGACGGACCCCCCCCCCCCAAGCCCATCCCCCATTCTTACCTAGTATGCTAAACACTAAGATAAACATATAGAATGGTATCTTACACTTTTTTCTAAATGTTGATATCCAAAAAACATATCTTTTTGGTTTATCAACACATACCGCTCACAATATAACAAGTATACAGATTGTAACATAGATAAGCGAATTGGGGAAAATTACAATCCCTTTGATCAAATTATTATAAGATTTAATCTCCAGCTGAGGTGCAATCAAAATGTTGATACACATAATTAGCAGTCAGAAAGATGCTCTTATCACTGTAGTTTTCAATATTCCCTTTGTTGTAACATCTTATTTCAAAAGAATGGATATTGATGGTTGTATGGAAGTATTCATATCAAACATTCACATTATAGTTTACAGTGGAATTCCCTCCATAAATGCAACATATTTACCATTTAAGATTTCATATTGGACTTTCCACATAATGATAAAATGTTGACGATATAGTTTTCGATAAAACCCCAGGTCCGTAGCCAGCTTTCAGTCGGGGGGAGGGGTGATGCAATCACCGAAATATTTTAGGTTTTCAGTCGGGGGGGGGGGGTGCGATCGTGACATAAATGAGGCAAAAAAATATTTGTTTTGAATTTTTACGAAAATGATGCAACTTCCTTCAAACCTGAGCTAGAAGCTTCAAACAAAAAATCAATTTAATGCTCTTTTCTTCCTCTACCTTATGGTACCTTTTATTGCTTGTAGGAGGGGGTGCGAACCCACCGCTTCTCCTCGTTACGCTCATGAACCCAATAACGTATTCCCAAGGAATCGACTTTATTAATTTATATGTGAAAAATGAGCTTGCATGTACAAATTGCATCGTATGCAAACCTTCCCCTGACCGACCCGGTCATGTTTATGTCTTTTGAATGATGTCTACCCCTTGATGCATGCATCCTTTAATAAGTGGTGTTAAGAATATTGGTGAAGGGATATGTCATAAAGATTTCACGTTATCGCGATATACATGTAGCCGCGTCCCCTTTGTCTTTATCCTTCCAAACGCAAACGGCAGATAAGAGGGGTTCTTAGTGATTGATCTGATGCTTAATAAGCCACTTACAAGATACAGTTTTAAATATTGATATTGTGTTAAGTTTTAACACATAGGCGTAACCAGGGGGGGGGGGGGGTGCGATTCGTGAATGATCGCACCCCCCCCAGGGGCGGATCTGGGAACCAACAAGGGGGGGGGGGCCCAAACCTGTGGTATGAGAAAAAAAACTTTGGGCCCCAAAAACCCAAAAGTGGGCCCAAATTTTGAAATTTTGAGGCCCATTTTCTTCAAAATTTGGCCTAAAATTAACAAATAAGGCCTTACAAGGCCAATTTATGACCAAAAAGGCCTATTTTTTGGGGCTTTAAAGCCAATTTTGGCTCAAAATTTTTTTTGGGCACAATTTTTTTTTTCTGGGCCCACCCAAGGGGGGGGGGGCCCGGGCCCCTGCCCCCCCCCCCCATATCCGCCAGTGCCCCCCCCCGCTTAACCAATAGAGAAGGAAGAAAAAAGGAGGTTTGAATGGCTTTCATTTGAAACTTCTAGTTCAATTTTGAAGGAATTTGCATCAATTTTTGTAAAAATCAAGATAAATCTTAATTTTTGGCTTGTTTATATGCCACAATCGCATCCCCCCGACTGAAAACCGATTTTTTGACGATCGCACCACCCTGACTGAAGGCTGGCTACGTCCCTGTAACATGTATTCAATTGATATAGCCATAAAATACAATAAGACATGTTTGTTTCGGCACTTTGAAAATAATATTTTTGTTTCCTTTCACGATGTGTCCTTTTTCAGCGTTTGGTGTTTTGCTAGGAATGGATTGAATCAGGGTTTAATTTTGCGAATCTCGAAACAGGCGCTAAGCAAAATTACCTTTATTTTACACCAAAGAGTATCAGGCCTGTAGCCAGGAGTTGCCAAGGGGGATTCACTTTTTGAAAAATTCCAGAAGTGGTTCGCTTGTTACAATTTTGGTCCAAAATTAGCCAGAATCACTTAAAAAAGTGCTCAGAATGGTGAAAACTGCATGATTTGAAAGATTTTTTGGCCGGGGGGGAGGCTACGGGCCTGAATATATTCATTTTGAGGGTTTAAATAATGTGTTTTATACAGAGAGTGTATTCCAAATATCGAGTCTGGTTTAAAGAGAAGTATCCCGGGAGAAGTATGAGGGTCTCGGTATCATTTTCAATGACAAGGGATTATTCTTTAACAGTTTTAACTTTATAATCCACATAACCTGAACTTGTGATTAAACTAATGATCAAAGGATGGATTTTTGCATCATTGTTAAATCGGGGATAAGTTTGACAATACCCATGTTTAACTTGGATTTCATTTAAAACATTTGATTCCGGTTTTATAAGGAATTTTAGTTTGATTCGTTCATGATTTGTTAGACTTTGTCTAATGTCAATTAATATTGTTTTTCTAGATATTGAATTGATCAAAGATTTGAAATCATGGGAACCAAAAAGTATAATCTCACGGCCGTTAAAAAGATTCAAATGCTTAAGATTAATGATTGTCCTTGTTTTAAACGTTTTAAACAATTTATTTGTGCCCCTGTGCCAAGATTTTACTTTGTTGCCATTTTAAATGAGATATTCCAAATTTCCGTTCTTACAAATAAAAAGTCAGACGATAGCCTATAGGGAAATAACATGAATCAAACCCCATATTGGGCCCCTGGCATTCTTAGAGACTCGATCCAAAATTATCCTGGATAAACCATGACATCTCACTTCCTCTCAGCCCCGAGATGTTTCAGGTGAAACAGAAATATGGTATCAGAATGTCAAAACATGCTGAGAAATATGATGTGTAATCAGAAGGAAATTCTGATTCTTCAACATTTTGTATCATTAAGACTAATTTAGGATAAAGACGCTTTATCCCCCCCCCCAACAATCATTTTCAATATATATGTATAGATGTAGATCGAAAATCAAATTGATTTCAAAGGTATTTATAGATGGTTTACATGAGGGGTTCTGTCCATGTGGGTGGTGTATTCCTTTCCAAAGAGTTGTTTTGCTTCCGGGGTCCTAAATTATTCAATTTTAAATAGTAACTAATAAGATTAAACAGATCAAAAAGACTCGGGGCACTGCCGTCGCCCCATCATGATCAATACAGGTGACAATAAGCGACACATGTTTCAGCGTCATGATAGTAAACCATGACATCTCAAATCTTCCCAGCCCTTGATTTTTGAGATCTTTCATCCCAGCTCATATTTCATCTAATTGGGGTCATAAAACTTGTGTAACTGTGCCTGTTGCATCCTCGCTGGAAGGGTATTTTACACCCTTACAAGTATAAATGAAGTCCTTTGAAGAAGGATGTGCCTGTTGTTAAATACATGTACAATGCCTTACTACATTATGTAATGTATTGACATTAAGGTAGATGATTACATGATAACAATCACACTTGACATTCATAACTCTTCCCATCTGATGTGCTCAGATCACAGCATATGCCTCATTATATCAGAGCATGTTTCGGGCGTTTCAGACCCATGGCCAGGATTTGCCAAGGGGTGGGTTACTTTTTTAAAAAATTCCAGGGGGAGTTTACTTTTGGCAATGTTAGTTCAAAAATGAGCAAAATAATTTAAAAGGTGCTCAGTATGGGGTAAAAAATGCAATTTTGGTCACGGAGGGGGGGGGGGGGGGTCGCTAGAACCAATCTATCCCCCCTGTATTCGGGCCTGCATGTGCTATCTACATATTTGACAATTTGATTGACACGGTTCAAAGCGGACTTTGTTAATTATTCAAACTGTTTTAATATCTAGGAATATGCGTCCAAGTTAAAATCACTCGAAATCAGGGTAGATAAACCTAAGAAAAACACATTTCGTGTTTTCATTTGATCTTTAACATGATCCTGTAAAAATGTCAGATTTAGCAAAATACATAGGCGATCTCCATCTGCACACATCTACTCATTTCGACTAAGCTATTGCCTATACTTACACGCACACGCATAATTTTAAATTAATTTTATTTTGATAATGATTTAAAAAACACAAATTATTATTAACACGAAATTAAAATGATTGTTATATTCCAATCCTAGTAAAGTATAATTAAGCGCGACTATAGGGCATAACAACATGTGGTCGGTCTAGTTATACTGTTTGTTTTGATAAGGCTGTGCAAAGAGATATCAAAACTCTTGACACGCTCTTTACACGCGAGGTCTTTGCACCTCTTGACACGTCTTGGAATCTCTAGATACGCGGAGTTCCTAGACTATCTTTGCACGTCTAGAAATTGCTTGGAATTTCACATTTGACGCAGTGACACGTCCTCAGACAGTTCAACTCGTTGTTAAAACGTCCCTAGTAGGATTGAAGTACGACGGTTCCGTTCGTAGTACGTCCAGCTCGTCGTTAGTACGTTGTCACTCGTTCTAATTGTAGAACGTGACGACCACGAGAACATTTTGTGCATTGTCTAAGTTCTAAAGCACCTACCCGTTCGAGTACGTTCGATGACGTTTGTAAATAGATCCCAAACGGTTCTTTGTAGGTCCAGTCCGTTCGTACACCGTTGAAGCCTGTTTTCGAGAACGTAGTGAGAACTAGTTTGGTGTGATAGTAGGGTAACTGTTATGTACAGAATGAATACATTTAAATTTTCTTCATGCCTGTATATATATATTGTGCTGAATAATAGGAGTGCCACAGGTTTTGTTCTCGATAATCATAATGGTTCCACGATGGCTGTATGAGAGTGGATAACTTTTTTCTTTTGCGATAGCTTTTGTATCGTTATCATTGACACCAATGTGTATATACTTTTATTATGTTTAGGGAGTTACCATAGACAAGCGATGTTTCAAGCAATGCATCGCAATTTCAAACCATAGCCCAGATGGTGTCAAGAAGTGTAAAGAGAATTGTATTGTAGGTAATTACATATTGTATTGCGTTACAAATAAATTTACACCAAACAGGAAATGAAAAAAAAACATGTGGATTTTAGATTTTTTTAAGTAAGATAACAGAGTTCTGCTTTGATCTTCAGTCACTTGTACTAATCCAATATATCATTTACATAGCCAGGATCACAATGGTCATGGTCCCTTACCATGCTGAAATAGCTTTTTCAGCCCTCTGAAAATGTGACTGAAAAATCTTAAAAGTTTAAGAAAGGTCACTTAACAGAATATTTGATTTTTCAAAAATGTGCCCAACATATTGCTTCATGATAAGAGCTTTGAAAAAATCAAAATATTCTGTTCAGTGACCTTTCAGAAAGGTCGATTCTCGGTTATAGAGAACAGTCTCCTGGGCTAATAATTTTTTTCATGAAAAATATAGAATTCAACTATGAATATTCAAGAGAGGACATTTAAATCTACAAGATGTAAATATAACAAATTGGTCTGAAGCAGGGGTAACGCTCAATTAGACCGATTCAATAAAATACAAGTCTCGATTTGGGGAAAGAAGTTCATCAGTGTACTCGAATCGAATTCGAATCATTGAATAACTTCCACTCTCTGTCAAGCTTGCAGTTGTATGATTGGTCAAAACAGGCGCATGCGTCATGCCTGATCAGAACAAGCTTCACATGTCATACAGTACTTATCAGATAAAATGTCCAGTGGTATTCGCCACTCTCTTGAATTTGCAAAATGGATTTATTCTTTCTCGATCATGATTAAGATTATAGACATGACTCATACACATATATTTAAACCTATATACGTTTGTAATGCCTGGGTCACATTTGTGGCGATTCATCGGCCGGCGCCCGGCCGATTGGGTAATTTTTTCAAAATTGAATACATTTCTGAACAAAATACTCAATCGGCCAGGCGTCGTAATGAAAATCAAATGTGACCTAGGCATAGTTCTGATTCATCGACAGCGCCCAGTCGATTGAGTATTTTGTTCAAAATTATACTCAGTTTTGAACAAAATACTCAATCGACCGGATGCCGGCCGATGAATCGCAGCAAATGTGACTCAGGCATTGCTAATGTATATACACGGTGATATAGGTTTAAATATATATGTGTGGGTCATGTTTATAATCTTAATCACGATCGAGAATGAATAATACACGTGGTACTTTCACAAATATATTAAATTACAATATCCCTAGTACAAGTTTCTTGAAATTTCACTTGTGAAGGATGCACTGGTATTCACCGAAATAGATTGAAATATTTGAATGTAAAATATCCAATGAGATAAGAAACAATGGTGAGCAAAATCTACATATATTTTTCATATACTCTCTTTATAGACTTGAAAAAGATGTATGCAATATACTTCAGTTCAAATTATGATATTTTATTTTTAAGTGGTTGTTCCACCGGTTGACTGTATCTGGGGACCGTGGAGTAAAGACACAAAGTGCACCTGTTGCGACGACTGTTGTTTCAGGTACTGTCTGAGATACCGGAAAAAGAAACCTGCCCAAAACGGAGGAAGGGATTGTATTGGACAAAGCACAGACTATGTCATTAGGAAATGTGACAAAACGGAATGTGCAAGTAAGACTGTTATTACATTTGTTTGTGATGCAATTGTTTATTATATTTTCCTCTGATTCCTCTTATTGCTAATAATATACGTAATCTACGTATATAATATACGTCGATGTCTATTGTGTTATAAGACGAACGAATTAAGGCTATATAACAGATATAATACATGCTAAAATGCACATATTTCATAGAGACGTGGGAAAATCCAAAGCGATGTTGGGGATGGGGTGACGTCCACTATCACTCATTCGATGATCTGGAGTACAACTTTCAGGGTGTTTGCAAATACACTCTAGTAGAAGACATGATAGGATTCTTTAAGGTACTCTAGCTGTTCCTATCATAAGATTGTAATTTTTTGGGAGTCTCATACTTTTGATAAATAAGGTTCTAAATATATATTCATGAACTATTTGTAGTTCGTTACATAGTTCGTTGCAGTGAACAGCACCACACTATGGATAACGTTTTTTAATTAATCACACATTGACACACATACTATTTTGGAGTATAGGATTAATTCAATGACATACTAGACTCGCTCGAACCCTGATTTAGACCGATAAATAGTAAAAGCGATACAAAAGTTCATCAATTTTATTTCGTCCAGTGTAAAACGCGACTTTGAATTCCCGGGAACATTTTGTCATTTTGACAAACCTACTGAAAACGCTGATTTAATAAGTTATATATCAATATATTCAACATATTATAGGTTTTTGTGAAAAATCGACAATGGGCGAACACTGCATTATCTGTAACGCAATATGTGGAGATACATTTGGCAGGGGACATCGTTAGACTCGATGGACCAGGATCAATACAAGTTAAAGTAAGCTACAATTTAGTTCAGAACCACACTATGGCCAGTTATCATAAAAACGATATTATATCACAATCACAGTAAGATAATATGATACTGATACAATGTGAAATAACGTTCATCGTATTCGTGTAGCTTGTGACCTAGTTCAAATTATTCTTTTAATTTTTTACATGTATAAATCTAGGTAAATGGGAATCCGCTGCCAGCAGGGAGTCTACCCTATAACACACCATGGTATACTGCCAATGTGGTAGGCAACACGATGACATTTGAGAGTACCCCGCTTACCCTAACGATACAGTTTAACATCCACCCATATAACAGTCCACCAAAGGCACCTGGTTACGGTGACGTCTATGTTACGTTAGGGCGGCAATGGATGCAAATGGTCGGTCTTCAATGTTTATATTTATTTCATTAAAACGAATTATAGTGTAATTTGATTACCATTCCAAAAACAGCGAAAAAATCATCAAATGACCTCAAATAAAATGACCTCAAACTAAGAACTAACGCATAAGTATGAAAATGAATTCGGACTCATTATTGTTCTTTTTGCACAGGTGGACGGACTTTGCAAGAATTACGATGACAATACGCCGAATGACTGTTCGGATAAAGCGGGTTCTAGTTTGATAGGAAACCCAAATAAAGGAGAACTTCTTGGTATCAGTTACAAAGTCTTCGATCCACAAGACCCGAAGTGAGTATGGTATGATGTCTAAGAAATTCCATCCAACGCAAATGACCTTCTTATACGTCTATATCCCGATTTACAAAACATTTCAAATGTACAAATAATTAGAAGCATTGGACGTATTTGAATTGATACAATCTCTTTCCCGCATTGCGCATATGCTGATGCATATGTGTTGAGTATATCTAATTCAAATGCTTAAATGTCTTTATCATAACGCATTGCTTTATAGTTGTGTCGACATGCTAAGAACCCTCGCTCCAACATGCCCAACCAGGATTAATGCAGCTGCAAACCAATTCTGCGGCAGCATCGTCAGTAACGTTGGTTTCTTTAAGGAAGTCATTGATATGTAAGTAAAAGAAGTCACTGACGTTGACATTCAACGATGAATGTTTCTCCAGAAGCTGGGGTTTTGTTTAAGACTGGTTGAGTTAGTAAATATGTTACAAACACAAGTGGTGACATATTATTATAGTCTCCATCTTTTTTGTTTTTTTGTTCGGTGGTTGCTGTTCAACTTTCGGCGGTTGGTGTTCGGCGTTCAGCGGTTGGCGTCCGTAACAAATGATAGGTAGTCCGGCAGCGCCGTGGGCTTACCTTGTTTTGTCTGATCAAAAACATAGAAATTGACACCAAGATGAAGTTTTTTTCGTAAATATTAACCAAGTTATGACATTTCAAAGATTTTATGGCGGCCATCTTGGATTTCATGGCGGTCATATTAGATTTTTGCATTTTGCTGAAATTCCTCAAGGGTGAGACCTCTACACCCACCCAGATATCACTACAGGTACCCTTGCAATGCATAATCTGCAGAGAAAAAAACTTAATCAGACAAAACAATGTCGGACTAGTGGGGATGCCTTGTTATTCCTCAATGTATCCGTTATAATTTTATACATTTAAAAATGTTTGGTCTTAAACAGTATAGTGCTCGTCTTTGTATAAATGCGAATATAAGCAAACGAAGAGATACATACCACCTCTTCAAATAACTTTGCTATATATATGATGTGATTTGGATTGATTAGTGAACAAAACTCATTTGTTTGGCTGTCCTTTGTGAATAGTAAAAAAGCAAAAGTGGCGATCAATGTACGTTCATTTTCATGTGGACGTTTTAAGGATGACCAATGCTGAAATTAAGACTTGGGTAGCCAACTGTATAATGGACTATTGTGCAGCACCTGACGCCAAATGTGACATCCTCGAAGCGTTTGTCGCCAATAGAAGAGGTGAAGGGCAGGATATGGAAGGATGGCGGAAGATGTTTAATTGTCGTAAGTTTTCTGTTTGCCGATATACCATTGGAAAGATCATCCAAAGTTATGTTAACTCACCAAATGTCAAGTATTTTGGATGAAATTCACCTATAGTTTCATGATGTCCTTTATAGTTACTGTACCCTCCTGAAGCAGCTTTCATTGGTCAAAATGAGAAGGATATGACCTCAGAAATACGTCAAAAAGTTAATTTTTTCGCATTAAACTTTAAACAAAAAGGTTTTCGCCATTTTTCCATGCACCTCTATTTTCTACACATCAAACCCTATCCAGAAATTGGTTGAATTCATTGCCATATACATATGTAGTCATCTTTAGGTCCTTTGACTTTTCTTATACCCGATTCTTAAAATCTCAATTGATATAATGTAAAAATTTGTGGGATTGATTGACATGTGTCAGATATATGCCAATCAACGTAACTTTGGAAGACCTTTCTTCTGATATATCACACTTGGTACCATATAACTTGGTCTTACATGTAGAGGGGGGGGGGTTATTTGACACCCTGTATATCCAGTGGTCTTATTACGTTCATTTCTCACTTTCTTCGATCTTTATTAGGAATTTTTATCCAGTCTCCGTGTGAACACGTGCATATTGTAGCAGATCATACCGTTGCTTTTAGCCCGTCAGTGCGGACCTAATGAAGTTTATCTGTATGATGGTCCTGGTTGTGAGCCACAATGTTTTGAAAGCGAACTTCGTTGGTGTGCTGAACGCAGGCGAGAGGGTTGTTTCTGTAAACCAGGCTACATAAGGTGCAAAGGGAAATGCATTCTTTTCCCAACAGGTAGGGCGCCAGAAGTAAGCGAGGCATCATATTACATGTCATCAAACCCGAACTACGGTACAATCTTTCGCGGACAATGTGGCGGCTTTGCGAAAAACTCAACCTCTTCACAATTTTAAAATGTTTTACCTCCACAATGTCTGTTCCGTATTATTTAAGACTATATGCCCCAACAAGTATCTCCGACAATTTTGTCAAGGTTAATGTGTATGATACCAAAAATAAGACTTCGTTTATTTGCACGTTGGGAATTTTATTTTGACTTACGTTTGGTAGACCTCACGTAAATATTTTCCAAACCACTTGAAACAGAACAGTTTTTATTTCAGCACCATGTCCACCCAAGTCAGACCCTAGATATGGACCAGGTGACCCACCAATGATGTGCTGTATGGCAAGCACGTGGTATTGGCCACACGGCAAAGAGAAATATTCAACTCAGGACATTCCCGATGGAAAGTTTATACATCACGTGTGTCCAAAGGGCCAAGTTTTCAAAGTGTTTAGTCACTACAAATGTGGTTGCGTTGATGCCGGTTAGTTCTTATTATATGAGTATCTGTTAGCGATGTGCGCAGAAGTACTGAGATGGAATTCTAACAGACAAATGGTGGGGGGGGAATTGTAAATATTTTTTGAAGGCAACTGATGCCCTTTGTTGCATATTTCATACAGCTTTATTACTTCATGAAAACATCTCTGACAAAAGACCGACTTTACTTCATGGATGAGTAATCCATCAAAAAAGTAAGTTCGCGTATTTTGAGTATAGAACAAAGACAAGTTTAAGTGAGCAATATGATACAATATACGAGGTGTAATTCAAAAGTAATGGACAAAAATTTATAGGCATACTTAACATTGTCCAATCAGTCTAATTTTCTGACAGAAAATCAAAAACACACATGGAGTCAAGGCATTTTCAAGGCAAGCCTTGAGATATTGTACAAGCAATTCGGTGGAGGTGATGAGAGGGTATTGAATCTTTAGCGATCTTAAAGACCACAAACTTGCCACCCTGATCACAAGGATAACAACAATATTCATCTTGTAGAAGCAATCTTAAATGCTGTTGGGAGATTGACACTGAGGAAAATAAGTGTTATTACAGATGATTTAAATATTATTTAAAAGAATGATCAGGCATGGTGTGAATTATGGTTGAACGTATCGTGCTACTGCCTTCAAATATTGAAAATGCTAACTTTTTATGAAAATACATGTTATTATGATGGCAATATACTTAAAAGCCAATTCCGGGCATAAACACCCTAATGCGGGAGATATGCTATATCTTGAAATGTATTTCGATTGATGTGATACGGTTTTCAAAACTTATAGATAATTGGTTGATCTTCATATGTACTAAATTTCATACAAATTGATTGAGACTAAGCATGCGTATAAAATTGTGTCCATTACTTTTGAATCACTCCTCTTATAAAGGTTATATTAAGTTTGGATGGAAATGAAGTTTTCATCAGAGTGTAGGTATACCAATGGGAACAGATTGTGCGCCCTTTTTAGCAGACACTTTTCTATTCTCATATGAGTATACCTTTTTACAAAGGATGAAAAAAAGATAGAGCTAGATTTCATATTGCGAACATTTTGAATAAGACAGATATGTATATCGATAACCTGTCAAGCTTAGACAACCCAAAATTTAATTTAAAGTCTTTGTAGGTGAGATGTATCCTGCTGAGCTTGAATATAAAAAAGACTAATGGATCTATTATGAGTGCACATTATATTGATCTTCTTATGAAATTTGACCAGACAATAGTGCATTTTTGTAAAAAAATAAAGAAATCCTTACTGGGGTCTGCTGAAAATATAGATCTTTATTTACAAAGTTTCAAGTTTTACCACTGTTGAATGATGTTAGAATTGCTAAGGACATTGGAGTTGAACTCACAATGTTTCCACTTGGTAACTTTAAAGGTAGATCTCGGCTATGGCATGGATGGTTGAAAAATGGGTGTCAAAACCAGCGATAGTTTTCTCCTGATGATAATTTTCCACGTGAAGGCTTCGCGTATGGATGTTGACCATATGATTTGCCTACACATGGACTTCGAGACGGGATTTTCGTCTATGTCTATCCCACATCATTTGAGACTTAATGCTCTTCTTTTATGTGCACAACTATTTTTGAGGTTAAGAGTTTTGGTTATCATTTATTCAATATTTTCTTCAGCATGTATTGCAATGGCCCCAGTATGAATGGATGTCCCTTTGTGTTCTCGCCCTGGGTTGTGATGTTGACACTCGACTGGAGGGGGAAGGGGTTTGTGTGTGTGTGGGGGGGGGGGTCGAACATTAATTCTTTAACGTTAGATCATGGTTTTGGGATATACAGGATCTATTTTTTTAAATGACATGTTAACACTTGGATTTTTATTTTTACCCATCTATAAAATTAATCAGCTTATTACATATAAGCTTGACAGGAATCTAAAAATGACCTTGGGTGGAATGCAGCTATACGAAATAGCGTGTTCTTGTCGGCTTGAATTAGACACACATTGCCCAGCTATTTGTGAATAAGTTGTTTACTAGTATTTCTGACAATTAAGGCCACTTGTATTTTTTATTTTTAGAACAATGTCCGCCTATAACCGACCCGAGGTATGGTGGGACCCCACCAAAGATGTGTTGTAAGGACAGTACCTGGTATTGGCCATTTGGCGGAGGATCGTACTCAACTGAAGTAATTCCAGACGGAGAAATGATTTCAAGACAGTGCCCCAGGGGGCAAGTGTTCAAGATATCAAGTCATCACAAATGCGGATGCGTAATTTCAGGTAAAATCGTTTCAAATAAAACTTTGAAGTTTGTTCCATATATCTTCTATTGAAATAATTTGAGTGAAAAAAATGTTCTTAACATGAGGAACGTTGATTTCGCAATTGAGGTTATTAAAGGAAAATCATCACACGTGCGTGAATGTCCAAGGGATCAGGTGTTCGAGATAGTAGGTCATCACACATGCAGCTTTGTGACTGGTCCTGATATTTTTCCGGTAAATAAGTAATGAATACCTGACGAATTTACATTTACTTCAAATATTTTCAAAATATAATTAATGTACAGTGACATTACGAAATAACACATTTTAAAATGGTTATAAGTCGTTGCTACAACGAAAAAAGCATTCGAATATTTCTCGATGAAATTAATTTTTTACTTGACATATTATGGCCTACTTTGGGAATCTTCTCATTTAGAATCATATAAAACATTAACTCTGTAATAACGGACTTCGCTTATGATAGTCCTAGTTCCTCCTATATTTCAGTTATTGATTGCAAATGGGGACCCTGGTCGTGTTGGAGGTATAGGCCGTGTACGAGGGCATGCGGTGGAGGCACGAGAACAAGTACACGCAGCAGATCTCTGCTTCAAAGGGGCCAAGGTCCTACCTGCAATGAACCGTCAACCCAGTCTCGAACCAGTCCTTGCAACACTCACGCTTGTGTCGGTAAGTAACAATGCATAGCCATAGCCACTACGGCGGAACGTGTGAAAAGTTATTAGATTCTAAATATTAGTATTGCTATAAGTCTGACGTTTTTTCTTGTAGACAAACTGCGGCAAGAAATTAAGTTATAATATGTTCTTTCGATTTAATATGAGGCTTCTTTGAAGAATGTAATCCTATTTTCTTTACTTATTGCTATACTAGTATTTACTGTCATTGAAAATTGTATATCGGATGTACGTCTGGCTCTAAAAGGGCATCAGGACTAATAAAATCCTATTATATATATGAGAAAGGTATCTTTATCTATAGAATCATGGGCTAAACCATGGCCTTCTCTTGTCCAAGGGTGGTTGCTGTTGACAACTCGATTGACATACAAGTAGAATTGGCTTCCAGTGTTCCATCTTGATATTCTGGCGTAAATGGAATCATGGCGTGATTACAAAATTCAAAATTAAATATCCACCACCTTTTGACTCCAGAAATTGTATCGCGAGTTCTGGTGTTGTTACTCAACAAAAAATCCAAAATGTTAGTTAGTTCCAAGATGTTAGTTCAAATCTTTTGGTACGACATTTTCGTCGTCGCTATTGCTAGAATAAGGACGATTATCAGTGCAGCCGTAGAAATATGCAGGCACGACCAGGACTGGGCAAATTGCTTGGAGATTAAAACATCGCGTGGGAACTCTGGGAGCCAATAGTAATCCTCCTTGATTGACAAATACACTCTTTTTTGCTCTATTTTAGAATGTCCCATCCGACCATTATGCCGATTTAGCTGCACAACGTCTAGTACACTGCTAACTTTACCGGGAACATGTTGCCCGACGTGCTTTAGATGTGAGTATGACCGAAGCTAAAAAAGTCTTTGGGTCCCGCGAACAAAAATTGTTGTCAACATCGCGAAACATATATTGATGTCATGTCATACATGTTCAACAAATTATTGGAAATCACAAAAATTACAATGCTGTATCACATACTGCATAATTATAAATCGTTAGTTTCATTTCAGTTTGCTGTATGTTGCAGAACTTTCTTGCCAACATGATATTTGAAGTGTTCTTTTGCACATTAAAACTGAACTCCATGAAGCATCTCCACAAGAAGTGTCACGTGACTTGCTCAACTAGTCACAATAGTTTGAATCCACCTTAAATCAAAGAATCATTTTATTTGTTTAATTCCACAGCTTGCATTGACCGATTTCCGAGGAGACCGACTATTTCATTAAGGGTGAAAGCCGGTTGTTCCTACGATTTCACCACAAAGATGACATTCTATTCGACCTGTCAAAACTACGTGCCTAACGTATGCCCGTTTACATGTGCACACATCAGTGGAACGTGTCCGTCTGTGGAACCAACGATGGGTGAGGTTCGTGTAACCAGCTCTAACAATGTGGATATTAACCCGTTTACAGAGTCAGGCAAAAGTGCAGGGTGTTACAATCCAAAGTCAATTGCGAAATACAATTGGACATATAACGCCTTTAGTTCGAAGGGACAAGACACGTTTTACCTTGCATCACCTGGTTCGAAAGATCACCAAGAGTACAAAGTCACAATATACTAATTAACTTAACTGGACTGAAACGGACTGCTCATGCTTGCCCGGATTTAACAAAAACGTTAATAATTAATTATTCAGAAAGTTAGTATTCAGATAACCAAAGTATTATATTGCATTCGTAAGTGAAAAAGACTGATGCATTATAGTCAAAAAGTTAACAATTGCAAATAAATAGTATGCAAAGTCCATTCGTCTCTGTACATGTGTCCGGTCATTAATAAACCCAAATACCGGTGAATGGATTTGGTTCGATTTTATAGAGTGATGCCTTATTGGCATAAGACCTCTGCGCGAGGAATACTTTTCAAGATGGCCTCTTAATTCAAAATAACCACAATTATTATGAACTTGAATGTCATGAATTTAGATACTATATCAAATATTAGGATTAGCTACAGCTTTTATAGGTAAAGTCTTATTGGAAAAGGACCTCTGGTCATGAAAGGATTTTCGATATGACTGCTCAATTTAACATGACTGCCATTTTTCAGACCTGCCAACCTAAAACGAAAAATTTGCGGAAGATTTTTTGAAAATTGCGGTACTTTTACGTGAGGTTATTCCAAAATCCAGTTGTTTTTGCGGCAGTTTTTTTAAAGGCTGGAGTTTAATGCTTTCGAACAACTCCCTTCGGTCGTTCGGAGTAAAGGAAACGTTTGTGTCTAGCCCTGCGGAGCGTATTCGACAATATTACCCCTGCTCTTCGGTCAATATTTCTTAATTAAAGTCATCAAAGTTACATTTTTTCGAAACGGCAGACATTTTGAAAGCCAGTACTGGTCATCTTGAAAATTCCTTCTTGACCAAGGTTCCTTTGTCTCCAGGGCATCAGCATATAATAAAGAGTTTAAGCTCACAATGCTTTTAAAAACGTAGCCGTGTACGGAAAGTACATAAATCAATATAGGAATATATGGAGCGCTCATAGTTTTATATGCGATTCAAGCTCTTTTAGTTTACTTCAGATACCCGTTCAGCTTCACAGTTTCGTGCTTAGAACGGGAAATTTCAAATTTCACGTTGGTGTCAACGGGAATCATTATACTCGTGTCTATTCACTTTATATGCGTGTAAATTTGATTTCGACACAAAGAAGATTTTTTTCTGAGTAGAGTAAGATGATCTTATTGTATTATTATATATATCGTAGATGATGGTACGCATGTTTTAGCTCCGAAAATCTCGCTAAACGAGCTTTGTTTAAAATATGTATAAGAAAACCAGCTATAGAACTATCAATGGCGTATTGCATGCTGCATATTACATACAGCGGTGTAGTCTTAACAAACACTGATGCCGAACGTTTACTTATAGTCAGAGAACTACATTTTGTGTATATGGGTGATTAATATATTAGTCTATATTTTTATATACACGCTTAAACTCTCAAATATTTGAACCCAGCCCGTCAACTAGTACTTGAGTCATCATAGATTGTATTTTATACGAAATATAGTGACAAATTTGACTAGTATTTGGGTCATAGCCCGGACAAACAAAACGAACGGACGGATGAACAGACAGACGACTTTCCTATATCTCCACCGGTTTCCTTTCACGGGGATAATAAATATGATTAAGCAAATTGTATTGTATTATACATTATATATATGAACAATATACATGTACGATGGTCCGATGGTATGAATATTTTTATTACATTGGGGTGAATACCATTGAATCCACCCTTCTATAAGTGATATCTTATGAACTCCAAACAAGTATTGGAATATCATAATAATACAATAATGAACACAATAATAAATATTTCAGGTATTCTATGAAAGTGGAATGAAATACATACATAAAAATAAATTGATTGCTGTCAGTTTATTACTGTTTTAACAACGACTGATTCAATATAAAATACGTCCCTGCGTTCCAGATATATTTATATCGTGTATATAATGAGTAAATTACCTATTTCAGGAATATATTTTTCTAAATAAACAGCTCGTGACTTTGCTGTTTATTATCTATTAGCGATGGCGTTGTAGCTGTTTGCTCAAAAATTTTGCTCTGTCATTATTTTCTCAGCCAGGACCTGTGTTACTTATATAGAAACTATGCTGCTCACAATTACAAGTTTTCTCAACATACATTGTGAAAAAAACTACAAATAAGAATGCATGATAGAAATGTTATAACGAGAGTCGTTCAATAAAAATAAATAAATACAATAACTCTCATTTCCATGTACTCCTTTTCGCTCTTTTGAGTCGATTTAAAATAATAATTTTCCGCGTTTCCCATTTCTACAACAAGGACGTCCAGAAACCGAAATGCTGAGATGTGGATTTCAACCAACAGGATTTCTGATTAGTTTGTTTAACTTTTAAAACTATTTCTAAACGAACCAATGAATCAATTTTTCAACGCTGATCAGTGAAAACATATTATATGTATCATCAATCCCTATTTCATATAATAAAAATAATTGTTTAATTATGAATTGTGTTTTTCTAGCATGTACGTGAAGAGTTGCGTGTTCTGTCAACAAGTCACCGTATTAATTATTCCAGTTTATGTCTATATCAACCTCAGGTGTGGTGTGAACACACGTAAGTCTTTACATACTTGCAACTGGAAAGGGCGTATGTAGTTAAGATTTATAAGGACATATTGAAATCATTGTATTAGATGATTATCTTGTTTTCATTAAAGTCATCAAAAATGTTGGTGATATTATGTTTGGTAAGCCTTGCAGTTTACGTCAAGCCTGCGCCCAAGCAAAGTTACAGTAAGTATGATGTTTAAAAGTACAAATAATCACCTATATGTATGAGGTTAGAAAAGTCAGGGATCAAGGATCGAAATCCGCCATTTTCTACCAACGACTATTGTTAATTACTGTGTTTTTCAAGTTTGATTTGTCATCATCCAATAATGGTGACATAAACGATACAATTCAATTAATAACAATTTCAACTTTTATTAAGAAATTTGAAAATAGAGAGAAAAATGTAAAAATCAAGAGAAATTCCCGGGAATAGTTCTGATACGGGATCTGATACGGGATTTTGGCTGATACGGGATCTAATGCGAGATCTGATACGGGATTTTTGAATTTCAATACTATTCCCTGTTTATTTCCCGGGGGAAACATGATATTATGTAATAAAAATATCCATCTCGTTAAGATGGGTCACACTGCATTATAATCAGCACGGTGTTCTTTAAAAATAGAATGGTCAGACTGGGAATCGTGGTCAGATTGTAATAGAAATACTCTTAAAAGCACGCTTGCTGTGCGGAGAAGATATTGTCTCGATGAACGGGAAATCAGAGTTGACGACAAGAAATGCGCAAGAGCTGACAGTGAATGCAGAAACCATCAGATTGACTGGGAACATTGCTCGAAAAAAGGTCAAAGTAAGCATAAAATAAATGATTTTTTTTACTATTTATGGCAATGCCAAAATCTAAAAAGAAAAATCGACAACCCATCGATCCAGCATTACATGTATGATAAATCAAAAATATGTGCTATATCAGGGGCGTAGCTGGGGATTTAGGCAACAAGACTCCAATAATATATGAATGAAAATTTGGTTTGAAGTTGCTTAGTGTATGATAAAGCTTTTGAGAATGTATGCTATTAGAAGGTCTAAGTAAAAAGAAATGGGAAATTTTATAAGGTTCTCATGTATTTTCTGGTGAACAAGTGATAAGGTAAAATAAAGAAATTCCCCGCTTAGGATTTTCAACTAGACGCCATGGCGTATTGTCGTACATTACAGCTACGTCACTGTATATAACACAGTAGTAGTGAGTAGCTCATAATTCTTTCATATTCCTTCGTGTTCACTGAAAATAATTATCTAAATCATGCCCATCAGTGTATATAGTCCAATCAAATTGCAGGATATAATCCCGTGAGTAATCATGAGCATGTGTTGTTTCAGAGTCGCGCATGCGCACGTGTAGCTTTGTAGTTTGTCGATTTTAACTACATGTAATTCATCATTTAAAGTCAAACGTTCTTGTACTTATAAGACAAAAATTGAGCTTCAAACATGAACAGGCTTTGGTACGCTATCAATCGAAGACTTACGCTTCTGGTGTATCTATTGAACTGTGTATGATAATTGAAAATTGCGATTCGAAAATTACATTCTACTAATAGATCCAATGGAGCCAATGTGGTCTGAATGGGAAGAATGGACCGGGTGTAGCAAAGATGTCTGTGTCCCTGCTAGGAGAGTCAGAAAATGTATGGATCAGAACGGATTAATTCAAGAGAGCTGGCGTTGTGGTGGAGGGGATACCATAGAAACTGATGTATTCCATTGCGATATCTGTAAAGGTATCAGGAAGCAAGCAAACTAATTTATTCAAATATAGTATCGGTTTCAAGTTCAAATGCATTAGTTTCATCTAAATGACAATAAGCGCCGACATGGTTTGAACGATGCATGTGCAAAGACGCACCCTTGTCGTATACCAGATACTGTCATGCAACACTTTATTTGTGACAGGTATATCTCGACAAGAATTTTATCAAGATCAGAGAAAAAAGAAACTATCTGACAAGCGGCGTAAAGAAATGACGGGATCGAAATATCCTGTTAAAGATCGTGGCGCCCTCTCGTGGGTAGTGACTCTATCATATATCAGAGAGAATAAGAGACAACACTTTTGCAGTGGTATAATCCTCAGTAGTACGTGGATAATGACCGCCGGTCATTGTATATGCGAAGCCAACAGTGATAATGTAAAGGGCAAAGACAAAGATAAATGTTGCCAAGATGGTGGCAGGTAAAAAACACTTTTTCACGTTATCCTCTTCTAACTCAATCAATTACTTCATGCAGTGCGTACATCTACACTTGTATTTGCGAATGCAACTTTCTGCGTCAGTCTGACCTACGATTTCATGCGCAACCCATTTAAATATGAAAAATTCGCGAATACAAACTAATTCACCCAATAATCTATAAGCTATATGACCGGCTTGTATTCGCGAATGCATATTGCGGCTAACGGCTACAGGATTAACCTCATATTTTATGACCAACTCATTTAAGTATGAATGGAATAGAGTTACTCATAGTTGCCCAATAGAACTTCTTGTATACATGTTTCTTGTTTAGCCAACTATATGACTGTATGAACAAACGATATACTCAAACCACTAGTCCATGGCATGACTTCCGAATATGATGGATCCGTAGCACTCTCTAGCGCAGCAACATTTGAAGCAATATTTATGAAGGTGTACATGTCTTGATTCTTTTAAAATACCATTTGCTGAAAAAACTTCCGTCTTTCGGGTCGAAAAATGTCTATCATCACAAGGGGTAAAAAAAACGTAAATATTTTGATTCGAACTTTTATACATTTTATAAGACACAGACCGTTATTCTAAGCATACGAACAAAAATTAATTATCATAATTTAAAAATGTATTATTTAATTTTACCGTAGATGTCGGTGTTTAATTAGTGTAGTTATGCAAGTGTGTTTTTCAGATTTTGTTTGATTTTTCAAATATGAGCCAAGCCGATTTAACAAAATTATGTGAAATAGTTAGGTAATTTATGATTGGGAACATATTCGTTTTCTTACCATTTAAAACATTTTATTACCAGAATTTTTCCATATAATCGCAAGGGGTCTAACAACAAATTTTTGTTCATGTTTTACAAAACATAATACAATAACAAATAGGTAAGATTTTATATCTGATTAAATGTTACAGAGGTATTGGGATGTTCATATATTCCAATGGCATGTCTAATAATCAATTAGAGTCATATGCAATCGAACGCCCTGGAATTCTTCCTCGACGTTACTTGTGGCTATCATCAAGTTTTCTGATGGCTGTTTGTTTTTTGACCTTATCGCTGGATATAATCAAATTTTAGGAAGATAATGATTTTTCTCAATTATTCATGAATTCGATCAAGTCTTGATGGTTGTTTTATAAGCAACTGAGCTATATCTAACTAAGGGAAATATAATTTTAGCTATAGTCCCAATTAGTCAAGGAAGAGCAATAGGCCCGTCTTTATTGATAATTTTCACCGCTGAATAAAAGTTCATATCTCAAAACGTATTGAGACCCCTTTTGTGAAAAACTGCCATAATTTAAACAGTTGTCATTCCAATATAAAACTGATTCATTTGTAGCATTTATCTTATTAATTCCTGAGAAACAATACAAAACGTCGATACACTGATTACATATTTTTGGGTATTGATAAGAAAAATAACCTCAAACTTATAGCTTTGAAACCTAAATCATATATCTAAAATCATTTTTTTTATTATTTTCTGTTGCATTGTGTACTCCAAATTGTGAAAAATTGGGATTTTATTTTTTTGGTGATTTTTTGACCTCTGTTAATGGCAGGCATAATGCAGCCTAAAAGCCGGAAGTTTATTGAACGGTTATAATAAAAATTATTAGGGGACATATGTAGGTATGTTAATGTAAGGTCAAATATCGCTGCGCTATAGTGTGCTACCAACTCCTTTATTAGACGTCCTAGAGATTTCATACCATGGACTACACCGTGGAGGAACTCGTAAAGCAAGTTACGTAAACGGATCCGTTTTCGTATTAAAATAATCAGCAACAATTATTAATTAATTAATATTTATATTATTTTTAATTAAATAATATGATTAATTAACATATTCTTTTATATCATATTATATCTTGTTATATTACTTGATCCTATAAGTTTTATATGGACCTTTTGTTTGACATGCATAATGTCGAACAACAGCCTAAATGAGATTTTAACCATTTTTCGCTTTTATTATATCCTTACCCTGTATTGCCATATCCTGATCATCTGTTAAAACATACATTTCAGTTGCAATTCAATTGATACAAGTGATTGGAAAATCACTGCAGGTGTTACGGATCTTAAGAATATCGACAAGGAAGGACAAACACGAAGTGTGTCAACAATTGTGGTTCATGAAGACTACAACAACCGACTTGACGTCATTGAAATGGATGTGGCGTTAATAAAGTTAGATCAAGCGTTCGATTTCGATATTGTTACCGTGCAGCCGTGCTTGCTTCCAGCGAGACGGTGTGTTACTGGTTATTCGCGTGAATCCTGTGTTCTCCATTCTACATGGGGTAGAAACCAAGAATGTAAAGCATCTGGATGGAATATTTACAGTCAGTATACAACTTTATTTCTATTATATCAGGGAATTTTAAATAACTTTTACTGCGGCTTCGGGAATAGCCTACATTTTAGAAAATATTCCCTCGGGAAATAATTTACACTCAGACTATTACCCTCAATGGCAGTCACTATTTGTATAATATTGACCTGACCAACATGTGACGTCACAGTGTCGGTCAATAGTGTGGACCAATAACGGATTAACAGCTCGGCAATGTTCCTCGGGAAGTGAGATATCGTTCAATGCGTATAATTTTCGTTCAGTGGTAGTCAGTTCCTGCTATTTCAGCCCTGGGCATAAACTGTCATGGTAATAATACTCATAAAACGTCATTTCTGCGGGCAAAATATTGAAACATATGGCCCTTGCGCCTTCGGGTCTTGGTCCAATATTTCACTTTATATTGCCCGCAGAAATGACGTTATTGACGTACTACTACTACTGCTATGCGTGACTCACATCCTGGACTTATTGATTTTATTGCATTTCCGCATGCAGGTCTTTTGTTATCTATATCCATCAATGTTAGGTCCATGTACAGTATGGCAGGTGATTTTAGACAGTCAAATCTTTTACCATGAGTAATTTCTTGGTATAAATACTGTGTTTTTTATTAAAACAATATGTTTTCTCTAAAGTGAATTCCCCATGATAGTAAAATTATATCAATCCTACTCTCTGAAAAATTATGGATTAGGACCCCACCTTGTCACTTTTTTAAAAATATAAGGCTTATTTTCTAAAAGAGAATCTTGTTTTTCTCAATTTAAATGTATCAAAAGTTACCTCTACACTATATTAATAACTTCTGAAAAGGGGATGGGTTTTGATGGGTATGGGAAGTTAAAAACCACACATCCCATGTTATTTTCCCATGGGGAAAACTCATCCTATCCATTGTTTTCAGCATGATTTTGGTCATCGAAAATTGATATCTTCAAAACTAGACATTCAATACCATTCTACTTTGGAAGATGTTTTAGTCTTCTTGTTGAATAATGTTTTCATGCAATAAAAATCAGAAAAGAAGATCCTCTTTTGAGCAAATAAGTACAACATTTTGAAAAAAATTGTTGACATGGGGTCAGAAAGTACTCATTGTGAAAGATATGACCGTCTAAAATCACTTGCCATACTGCACATGGACCTTTGAGTAAAATTCCTTTATAAGTAAATAAATTATATAATTAGTGATCTTCTTTCAGAATCCATTGCACAAAGGGTATCATTGTGGGTTGAAAAATCTAGGGACAATGATACTATTACAGTTTCAAGAACACCGGGAAATAGCCCTGATCGAGTATGCGAGGTAGGGTCAACTAGATATTTTGGCTTATGGAAAACTCATTCCCTAGACAACTCATCCCTGGACAAGTCATCCTCTAGACAAGTCATCCCCTAGACAACTCATCCCCTTGACAATATTGAAATTGTATAATAAAAGTAAAAAAGTAAATATTTGCAAAACAAATCACAGATTAATTGGTTGATTACCTCTTGACGATATCATAGTTTTTTAACACTTTTCCAGATTTCCTCTCCAGAAAGTCTTTGTTCATGTAATTTTTTTTTGAAACTTAAAACTGATCATATTCATAACCAAAACATTTCAAAATCATTTGAATGTCAAATATGAATTGATAATATAACATTAAATTACTCAAATATGCCAAAGGATGAGTCGTCGAGGGGATGAGTTGTCCAGGGGATGAGTTGTCCAGGGGATGAGTTGTGTAGGGGATGAGATGTCTTGATGGTTTTATATACATATGAATATACCTTATGCGTGTATCCGCACGCAAAATATTTTATTGGAACGTCTACCTGAGTATATTACCCAAAATCCAACAATCGAGAGGAAAATTCTGATGTACCTCTTCTAATTGGTTATTTTGTTTTACTTTTAAACATATTAAAAAACATAAATATATATTAAACATATATATACTTGGAAGTCGTTTTAAATACAAAGTTGCATCATTTCTATTGAGAGCCCATGGTGGATTTTATGAGTGACATTTGGACAAAATCGACAGTTGACAAAAAAACAGATACAAAACCTATAAACGATAAGAATTAATGTAGTATAATGGTAATTTACAATAACAATTTATATATTTCTTATATAAAATAAACTGACTTAATTACTCCGTGATTCATATTGAATATCTTGAATCGCTAATCATATTTGAAATCCAGCATAGTTTTACATTTAGCGTAGATTTTCGCGACCAATAAAATCATTTGCGGAATATACACTACGTACCTGCTGCAGTTAAATATCGCGGATCATTGAAATCAATGTCAATCACATATGTACAGCTTAATATGCCAAACTCGCTTGTAGAATATGGTATATTCCGTAGGTGAGTAAGGCATATTCGATCCGTTCCCTATTGCAACGATCAAAAACCACAAGACCATGGGACATTTCATGAATACTAAACGCTTTACAATATATGTCGAAGGAACCTACAACTCTGTAGCCACATGTTGATACAAATAAATCTGTTACTTTTAGGGGTTTAGTGGAGGTCCTTTAAGCTGCACAAAAGATGAAAGTGGGCAATATAGAGATGACAAAGTTCTTGAGATACCTCCCCAATCTGATGTTGTGATTGGTATCAATAGTTTAATAACATTGAGTGGCTGTATGAAACATGACTTACCGGATGTTTTGCATTTCTCACTTTTCATCAATCAAACGATATCTTGGATTGCAGACAAAATTATTTGTAAGTGTTTCGTACGTATACTAGTAATTTCCTTTTGATTGGTTTAAATAAAATGAACCATACGTGCATACAATGTCTGTAAATCCAAGGGTGAATATTTCTGTCGGACTCACAGCAAGCGTTTGTGTTTGTGATGCAACATTTTTAAATTCAGTGTATACCTAAAAAGAATGGTTCTTGCAATTGCGTGGATTTGTTTTTTTCGAAATTAAAGTCATTGAAAAGGGCATCAATTGATGTTGAAAGTGAGTTTTTTGGACACAAATGTGATATTTTCATCAAGTACAAAAACATCAGTTCGATCAAGGTTTAGAGTCTCCCTGGAAGCAATCTTAAAGCTGCTTCAATTCATAATATTCTCACGTATCTTCTATTTTAGCATGGGGAGAGTGGGGCGCATGTTCCCTTACTAAAGACGGCATGGGGAAGACAAGAATACGATCTGGCTATTTCTTGGAGTTTGGATATTTTCCAAATGATGGTCCATTATACCAATCCTACACTGGAGTTGATATTGAAGAGGATTACGATAATTGTGAAGGTTAGTATTATGTGGAAACCAGCGGTAGCGACTTGCAATATAGGGTCATTGCGTTTGGTAATTTTAAATAGTATTGCTACATAAATGCATTTAGTTGTAATGTAAAAATTTATAACGAATTATACACTTTAATATTTATAATTTAGACCCGTGTTTTGCTGAACCCTGCAAGAATAGTGGGACTTGTCAAGCCCAGGGAATACGTTACGAGTGCATATGTGCAACTGGCTATAGTGGTAAAACATGCGAATCACGAGATATATGCCAAACAAATCCTTGTAAAAATGGTGGGAAATGTACGGCCTTCAGGAACGGTTTCAAATGCGCATGCCCGTCTGGGTACAGCGGTACAACATGTAATATACGAGACAGATGTAAACCAAATCCCTGTAAAAATGGCGGGAAATGTAAAGCCTCGAAAAAATGGTTCAAATGCATATGTGAGTCTGGATACAGGGGTAACACATGTGAAACAAGAGATGGGTACAATTCTCCAAACATTGTACTAATTATTACCGACAGTTTAGGGTACAACGATATTGGTTTTAGAAACCCTAAATTCGTAACTCCAGTTATCGACAATTTGTCAAAGGAAGGGATTCGATTGGATAATTACTATGTGGACACGTTGTCAACGGCATTTAGAGCAAGTCTAATGACCGGAAAATATCACGTGAGTCAATTTATCTTAAGTGATTTTTGATAGTACAGACGCCTCGACATTAACCGAAGAAGAGTAGTGAAAAAATTGCGGTAAAGAATATAAAAAAGAGTGACGGAAATGTTTAAAAAAATGTTTAAAGTGTGTTGCCATGATTCTCCCAGATTTAAAAGTAAATACAAATGCAATTGCAAATACAAAACGGTTTCATTTGAATTCTTTGAATATTTTTAAGTTAATTAGGCAGACGGTTACATCATCAAATATTTATTTAATATACACTTTTAGGCGAAAACTGGAGCAATGGCAGAAATACCGTTATCAACAGACCATTGTATACCAAAATTTGGACTCAACCTCCCGGAAAGACTTCAACGGGCTGGATATTCTACCTATTTTATAGGAAAATGGCATATGGGCTATTCGAGGCCCTCGTGTCTGCCTCGAAACAGAGGATTTGACTACTTCTATGGTAACAAAATATTATATTTCTAAAACATTTTAGAGATTGTGTTATTAAAATATGAACAGAAAAATACAGAAATAATGAAAAGTAGCATTGAGCCCTTTTAAAGATCAGATGTGACGTGCCATACAGGGTGGGCCAAATTATCCCAATTTGTGAATATAAGGACGTGTCGCAAAAAGGTCGCGCACGCATTGTTACACATTTTCGCTTTTTAACACCACAGAATGTGACGTTTTTTGAGAAAAATGTGCACATATGGAAATCCTTTCGTCCTCTACATTTGCCTCTATATCTCAAAATGTTTAAGTCGAATAACTCTGATATCGTACATGTATTAACAATGGGATAGGAGCATCATAAAACACGAAGCAATTGATATTTTAGGTGAAATAAATATACGAGTTGCTGTGCTTGAAAATAGGCGAATGGCGTAAATTAGCCCTATTTTAATGAATTTTGAAAATCTTTCGTCCTCCACTTTTCCACATACAACAGAAAACACATACTTTTGCGAACAAAATCAACTATTTATTAATAAAATAGAGTTTAGGAGCAAAATAATCATGTATGATTTATTAAAAATTGATCTCGTATTTTTTGTTCAATGTACACCTGAAAAGCTGAAGGTAACAAAAAATGAGCAAAAACTCTATGACGTCACAATATGGGACGCTTACTAAAATTCATCCTTTGAAATAAAACGTCCATCTACCTTTATCAAGACGAAAATTAAGTATAATAGTCATATATTGTTTGAGTTATGAGCGTTTAATGACGAAAAATAATTCAAAATGTAACGTGTCAACAGGGGATATTTGCCAGATGTTTTGGTAAAAAACTCTTTTTTAAAAAAGAACGCGCAAGAATCGTGAACGGAGTGTAGTTGATCTAAAAACTTCATCAAAACAGCTTTAAAATGATATATAACTTTAATTAGAATATTATCTTATAATCCGGGGAATCAAAGTTACATTCACGCAATACCCTTAAAAAACGAATGCGCCACCTTTTTGCGACACGTCAAGCGAATTGTAATTGGCTCGCCATATTGTCAAAACCCGTTAGATGCTAGTACCGTCCATAAACTCTCTTCACACAGACTTCAAATTGTAATTGTAAAGATACTTCATTGACATACTGTATATCAGGTTCCCTAATAAAAAATTATTTTCGATAATAGGGAGTTATGTTGGTTGGAAAGGTCACACCACCCATAAAAGAAAGGAATGTGTCAGAAGGGGAAATGCAACTACAATAGGAAAACCATGCTGCTTGAGGAAAATAGCGTCCTTCGGAGACTGTGTATATAAATGTTGGTCTAACTACATAGGTATGTTTGACCTTTTCATATTTTCAAGTACAAATAATGCATGTCAGTTTTAAGCATTTCATCAATTACAAATTTGCATCCTGATGTAATATATTTTTTTTTTAATTAAATGGTTATTGCTTGGCAAATCTAATCCATTTGTATGTTTAATTTCCCATACATTTGCTTGGTTTTCTTTTCTTATTGTATCTGTAGAAAGATTCCGCGATGGCCGTACGTCATGCGTACGTTCTACTTGCGGCTGTCTTATTCGATTCATAGGTTTCAATTAAGAATTCAAGCCCCAGACTTAGTACATTGTAGTTTGACTATCATTCCTCCAAGGTATTGTTTCAAACTTTGCACGAGATGCGTAATCGTACGATCGCCGTAAATATATAATACTGAGGGTTTAGCGCTCTTCAATATTATGGAAAATGGCATAGTCCACTCTATTAACACAGCTCGTTCTTTATATCATTGACTGTTTCATCGTTTTAGGAATTGACCTTGTTGAAAATGAAACCCCAGTGGTCGATGCTGATGGGGAATTTGGAAATGATCTGTTGACACGAAAGGCAATAGAGAAGATTGGAAAGCACAGTAATAAAAAGGTATATTTGAATTGAAGTCAAACTGTACAAGATTTATCACGTTTCAATGTATGGTTCCAAGCTCCAAGGGATCGCAAGATTCTTTCAGCAGGAGAAACCATATCATGCAGAAGGAAATTGAACCCACTTCCTTTGGGTATAGTTGTATGGTTCAACGTCCCTCTAGAGTCTAGACTACACTCATTGATTTCCGACAGCTACACAGAGTGTGGGTTTGGTTTCATTCATGACGTTTACATAGATTGGTATGTGTTGTCATTATCCAAACTCCAACCTTTGGTAAGAGGTCGGTAATGGCATACATTGTGACACAGAGTCCAGTTATTCCACGTCGGAGTCTCATCTGGGTTATTCTTCCATTTGGCTCTTTGCTTCGCGAATTCTACAGCTTTTAAGACTCTCTCCATCTTTGTGCTTTTCGAGTCTCATCTAGCCAAAGTATCCCACCGTCGTGCGCTCAATGTTGGAAGATATTGGTGTGTATCCCATCTAGAACAGGGGACCATTGAGATAGATAGGACAAGTTAAATATGTTTTGAAGTGGCATTTGCTCCAAAAATGTGACAAATGGAACAGTAAATATTAATAGAGCTGCCTGTACATAAACCATTTACCAATTTTAACGAATCAAAGTCACATATTTTTATATTATGATTGAAGAACAAAGATTAAGAGTCATTAAAGGAGCTTTACAAGTCATTCATTTATGATTTGGACTCCCTTTATGTGGGGGAGTGGGGTGGTATTAATGAGTACTTATTTATTTTCGAACACTTTAATTTCATCCATATTTCAGAAAATGTTCCTTACCGTTGCATATATCAATCAGTTTGTGAACCCACCAAGAGAGTATCTGGATAAAATAACGAAAATCCCCGAAGGAAGATTAGGCGTAAATGAGAGCCCAAGGAGAGGCGTTGCAGGTAATAATTATGTAGACTTCCAATTAAACCTGTCTTATTTTACTTAAAGAACCTAGAATATATTGACTCGATTCATACAACAGGTTTTACAGGGTGGGCCAAAAAAAAACGCCTCTTTTTTCAAAATGCTATAACTTTTTTAATTTTTGACACAAAATCATAATTTGCATACCAAATGAAACTTGAGGTTGTTATCTAGCCATAGATCACAAATTATACACTTTTACTTGAATAAAATATGTCACCAGCGTCTCACTTAAACATGTGGTGTGCCATGAGAAATAAGCATAATATGCAAAATGTTCCTGAACTGATATGCCCTGATGACCGCCAAGCTAATAGCCCTAATGCAAATCCCAGTGACTGAGTATAGGGTATGGGAAGGTCTCCAAGAGATGGTATGAAGGCACCAAATCTAAAAACTTGCTCAACTAAAGCTGGCAATTAAGACACGTTGAAAAAATATAGCTAACATTTTATTGATACTGCTATATCAGCAAGGCGACTAAAACTAAAATCTATCATCAAGCTAGCTAAAGTAGGGTGGCGGACCAATTGAACTCCTCTTAGATCAAATATAATCCCAGTTGAAGGACTCGTTACATTATATTATTACTAAGAACCCTTGGCACTATATAGCTGCAAAATCAGGGGTATGTAGGTTGGAAAATAAAAATGTTATAGTGTCTTGAAAAAAGTGTCGTTTTTGGCCCACCCTGTATATACAACGTTTTAAATACTGTTATTGTTAATTGCAAATAAGACGTGTCAATTATATATTTTTTGAGGCATTGCGTTAAAGGTTGATCGCTTCTTTTCTGTAAACCCAATTTACTCTGCAGAACATTCGAAAAGGATAGAGCCAACTGGTCAAGTCGTCCATTGACTATTGATTATGCATTTTGTAGCAATGGTGAATTCAGTGGACACAGGAATTGGTCGAATAATCCAGAAGTTACGAGATACCGGTCTCTGGGAGAACACAGTCCTTGTGGTAACATCCGGTGAGTATGTTCAATCAGCAAATCATAGGCATCGTATCATTAACCAATTCCTAATGACATACGTTTGGTATGGAGTTGTCATATGATACTTTTGGGGTTTCTTTTCGACAACATATTTGGAGTAAGATATTAGTGCACATAAGCTAAGATTCAAACTGTTAATAAATATGACACAATTAAGGTTAAATTCGTACCAAGGAATTCCATTTAACAATTCTGCATCCACAATTAAGTGTCCACTATATCTTCAGATAAAGGGGGAAACGAAAATTCCAACAACAATTGGCCTTTAAGAGGGAGCAAGTTTAACTATTTTGAAGGCGGAATAAGAGGACTTGGTATCGTTGCTGGTCCAATTACATTTAAAGGTATGTAATAACATAAAATTCTACATTATTATTACATGGAATCAATATTTCATATTATTGTTGTCATAATAGCGAAACACGCAGCTAAAATTATTCACTTGCATGTTGATGAAGTGATTATCATTTACGAAACAATTACAACTAGTTTTTCACAATTTTTTCACTTGGCACCTTTTGAGGTGGATCCCGGCTATGGCAGTAATGGTTGAGAAATAGTGATCGAAACCAGCCATATTTTATGAGTACCAGCCATCTTTTATGAGTACTAGTATCTACAACTATTTTTGATGTTATGAGTATTGGCTATCAATTTTTCAATTTTTCTTCAACATGTACTGTAATGACTTCAGTATGAATGAAATGTCCCTTGGTGTTCTGGTTCTGGATTGTGATATTGGTTCTCGATTGGAGGGGAGGGGATGTTAGGCATTGTTTCTTTTCACGTTAGATCATGGTTTTGGGATATATATACCAGGGGTCTTCTTATTGAAAGCAGACTAAAAATGCGCTCTCCAAATTAATACTCAAATATCGTATATCCCGACATATTGGAGTGAATAAACTCAACAAGGAACTTTATACAAAGGATTTACTTACCTTAACGCAAGAATTGTATGAAGAACAAAACGCTAAAACAGGTTACGACAACAGTTTATATCACGTTTTGACATTTTAATTGTATTATCGGCGACTGCGGTCGATAGACCCCATATACTAACTCTAAAAACGTTGCTATTTGACTACGTTAAAAAGACAACGTTTCGTGCAGTGTAAAATTCGTTTCATACAGTGTAACGTTCAGTAATCATATTTAGTGAAATAACCGGGTAGCTACGATGTCTGATTTTAAAGTCTTTATGTCCAACAAGGAAGTTGTGAAACGTATTCAAACCATTGGTAGTCATTACAGGAAGCACGTTCCGAGTAAACTAAAGAAAGCAACCGGATCTAAATCTAAATTAGCAACGCTGGACTCTCTCAATGAACATTGCAGCTCAGATACATACTGTGTGTTCAGAACGAATCAAGATGGGTTGTTAAACTGGATAATAACATTACACCTATATTATGAAGACTATAACAACAAACAATTGGAAATCTGTGAGGATCTAAAGAAGATCAGTGTAGAAGCATCAGAGTATAAAGTAACAGTTTTCTTAACAACTGGAACCATTCAAATACAAGGAAATAACATCACTGAATTCAAATCCCAGGTGTTTCCAATCTTGAAAAGCACTACTTATCAGATCAAGCAATCAAACACAGAAAAAAAGGACAATACTCAAGATCAGTCAAATACACAGATAAAGAGCATAACATCTACAACCGATATTAACGATCATGAGATAAAAAGCACAGAAAATGATACCATAAACAATGATTATCACGACAACGAGGTCACAAATGTAAAACTAAGATGTACTCAACCAGACCATGAAAATGCACAGGATGAGAACGAGATAGAGGATTTGGAAGATAACAACGTTCACGAAAATAACATCATGAACCACAATAATCACGATAACGAAAATCCACAAGACAAAATCGTGTTTAATAACTAGCAATACCAATGGTACACCCATCTTACCCGGTGCTTAGTAGTCGCAATCCTTGATTATTGATACACTTATTTGGAAGGTTATTTGAGCTTACCCTTTGGTATTGATACACTTATCTGTGGTTTTTAGGCCCGAATACTGAGCTTTATTTTTTTAATTATTGAGTCTTATTCTATTTCATTAATATGTAGTTGACTTTGTAACTACGGGGGTGATATGATAGGTCTATTACATAATATGTATATATACATATCGCGATGATTAATGAATCTAGAAGAAGACTAATCATTAAAACAAACTTAGACGACATTTAATATTTAAAGAAAAATAATTTGATAGATAAATTATAGTCTCCTAGTAAAAAATTTAAGGGAAACGGGTTTCGTGATTTAACAGAGGACAGCAAGGTGTTTACGATTCCGGGTTTACGATATTTATTTAGTTTGTAGATTAAAGATTCTTATTTAAAGACAACGTCGACTTTAGGAATTATTTAAGACATCAGTATTCTCAGAAATTGAGTATCCGAAACGGATACCAAGTTCTGACCAGCAGACAAACAATTGCAGACATGGGCTAAGTTTGTTTATTTAACGGTTAGATTTGTTAATGACTTAATGATCCGTATTGTAATCTCTCGGAAGACGTTATTTTTATTTATTCCATACTTTGTATTTGCGTGCATTGTAGTAAAGTTGATACTTTTATGAACAAGAATGTCCTTTTAATGTCCATTTTGTATGCCTTTTATTTCCACACTATGTTTTGATTTTGCCTCGATGTTATTGTATCATAGTGTTTTTGCTTTAAAAAGTCGAGAAATGTCAACTTTTTAATCAAGGAATGTTGGTTAATCCCTTGTGGAAAATCACATTGTTGATGATGTCAACGGACCATGAGATAACACATTCTCCGGGGAAAGATATCAATATCAGATGTATATCAGATAGAAAAATAAATATTATAGCAGATGCTAATTGTTTGCTCTGAAATAATGTGACTAATGACTATTCCAGCGAATCAGGTAGATACATGTATTTCTCCGGTTTTCCCGTAATGAAAGTATTTATTTTTCGTTTCTATTAATTTGACAAGTAGGGTCGTTGATAAACACATTAACTGTAAAAGTATTTATTGGAAGTACTTGTTTTAACAGTCTTTTCGCTTCTCTTTTTGTCTCTCAAATAGCATAGGCGTAGCCAGGGGGAGGGGTGCGGTGCCCCGGGTGTGGTGCATAACCAATAAAATTGAACCATGAAATAGAAGAAGAGACAGAAGCTTCTACCTCAGTTTTGAAGGAAGTTGCATCTTTTGGCTTGCTTTTGCCACGATCGCACCCCCCCTCCCCCAACTGAAAACCGATATTGTTTTTTTGCCGATCGCACCCCCACACTGAAAGTTGGCTACGCCCCTGAACATGGATAATATAGGGGCACTATTACGCTGCGTGCAGAGTCTAGTTATAAACTACAAGAAGACGAAACTCTCTTTTAAGAAGTGAAGTCGAACGAATGCAAAGGGTAGGGGACTATAGAAGGGGATCATATAAAAGCACAATCTATTTCACAACGCCTTTAACTTTTTTTCTTCAACTGTTGCCCTTTGTGCATTTAAAAAATAAAATATCTTAATCTGATTTGTTCCACCTTTCTTTTCGCTCAGTTCTGTTATATTATGTCCACATGTTGTTAATAGGATTATGTCATTTGCGAAATAGCTGTAAGACATTATGAGAATGAATATGGGAGTTTCCACGATAATGTTGTTCACATGATTTTATACACATACCTGCATAACAATCGGAGACAGAAGCGGGGACAGAAGTCTTAATATTGTCCAATAAAAAAATAAGAATCTAACATTTAACAAAAGGATTAATTGCTTAGTTCTCTTTGTCTTAGTCTTTGTTTTCTTAAATGAGAAGTGTACCAACATCACCTAGATTACATAAGAGATCATCTAACAGTCTAAAATTGCTTTTAATTGCAAGTTAAAGCATTCCGACCAAAATTTGTATACCTGTAATTTGGGGGGGGGGTGATGTTACATCACATAATTACAACGTTCATATAGAAATATACAATAAGCATGTCCGTATAAAAGCTAAAATTATAAAAACTCATTTCAAAGTCATTCTGTTCATGGAAGCGTCAAGTTATGAAAAACAATGCTAAACTTTCAAACAAATCGACTTGATTACCTTTGAAAACTTCTTGAGAGGAAATGGACAAATGTATTTTTCTAACTCATTAGAACGTCTGTCTGATTGAAATACTATTTTTTAAATACAAACATAAATGAATTAATCTTGGTCAGAAGTCTGAACATTGTCCAACAAAATAATAAGAATCTAACATTTAATGATTACAAAAGGATTAATTGCTATATAGTCTTTGTCTTAGTCTTTGTTTTTCTAACGGCGGAAGTGTACCAACATCACCTTGATTACAGAAAAGATCATCTAACAGTCTTAAATTGCTTTTAATTCCCGGGTTTTAATTACATTTTATGAATAGAGTTTTTTGCCTCTATTCTCATTTTAAACCTGTCTTTGTTTGCGTATTTAAAGGGGCAATAAGGACTGTAGAGAAAATAGGAAAGTTTTTTCATTTTTTCTGAGCTATCAAGGCAACATTTGGTTTAACATCTTCTTTAACATACCTATTTTCTTAAAATGTATGGACAAGTTATCAATTTCAGCATTAAGAAGAGAAAATTCAGTTCAAAGCTTCAAAAAGGGGACTTCCACTTTTATATTTTTAAGATCCACCATGTCTCAAGAGGAATATCAGCTAAAATAATGTTTATCTAGGGGTTTTCTTTGTAGATAATAAAAATAGATGTTAGTCTTGATGAAATATCCAAACTTAAATATATTTTGACACTGGTCCATGATCGTTGAATGACCCCTCTGCACTAATTATTGCACCTTTAACAATTGTGATAAATTATTCAGTTAGTGTTCTACATTATAACCCCTCCTCTTGCACTGACTAAATATTAAAATAAGCCAGTCTGATTGCGAATTTACAAATCCTGTAAAAGTAGCTTCAAGCCGCCTTTTAATCAGAGAAAACAATAAGTTAATTCATCTGATTGCGAAAATACGAATCAATCTGATTATCTGATCTCCATGCTATTTGATTCGTGCATCATCTACAAGTCAGTCGGGCAAGGGTGAAATTATTTCATTTGAAAACAGAAATAAATATCAGAACCCCTCTAGCATAACTATTCGGAAGAGATTCATACAAAAATGCACGCACCCCTCTCCTCCTCCTCCGTGTTTGCCCACACACGACCGTATTTGACAATTTTTAAAAGGAAAAAGCGTTTTCCCCGGGAATATAGGTGTAGCAGTTGCCAGAAGTCGCACAGCTTGGGAGTCAGGGTATCCTGATCCATGCCTCAACGCCTGACGGGTCTGATATTTAGAGGGGGCGCAAAAATTATTAGGGGGCGGGGTAAATGTGAAAGTTGCTAAAATATCCATAGGCGTAGCCAGGAGGGGGGGGAGGTTGCGATGGGTGCGATCGCAACCCCATAACAATAAAAATAAAACCCTGAGAAAGAAGAAGAAAGGAGTTTTAAAATGCTGTTTAGGCCACAATCGTACCCTCCTGACTGAAAACCGAAATCTTTTTGGTGATCGCACCCCTTCCCCCCTGACTGAAAGCTGGCTACGCCCTTGATATCTGTTTTTGGTCATCAATAAAACTATATTTATATGGTGAGGATTTATGGGTTTTGATAACAATAGGCTTCATATATGCTTTAATGTTGTATTTATCATGATGCTTTTATGTAGGCTATTAATTACAGTCTGTTCTTTTTTGCAATATAAAACTGGTATGTTTATGCAAATTTCGATTGGACTAATATAAAGGGGTATTGTTTCATTATGTGGACTTGAGAAAGTCCGACATACTCATTGCTTCCAACCCAAAACTTAAAATATGAAGTTATCAAGATCCCAAGAACACGATCGCTACTTAAACAATACGTTTGTAAAATCCCGGCGGTCGAAATGCAATCAAACTCTCGCAATCAGGTGCCTAATTAGTCTTTTGATCTCTGAAGTTTTACGACTGAACTTTTCAATGAACTCGTGAGAAGCAAACGCAATCATCACAACATCATATGACATTTTTCTGGTAAATCTAAAATAGAGTAAAACCCAGGGAAAAAGATCGCGTGCTTATTTGATTATTTCATAGGAATTTGGCATATTTCAATTTTGAAATAACAGAAGTCAGTCCCGGAAGAATTTACCAAGCATTCCCTGCTTCGATGCGTTTTTATTGCAAGGGCCGTTTGCGCCGATATGAATTCATAATTAGGGCATTAGGGTTGTGCTTTATTTGTTTTATTTATATAAATGTTATGAAATGTGTACGACACTTTAATGAATTATTTCTAGGGTTACAATGCATATTTGACTTTTCCCTCTAAAAGTTTAAAATTCATCATTATACTTTTCTTAGTTTGATTCAATAAAATTAACATTGGATTCCAGACAGTTATCAAATTCTCAGACATTTGATTAATATAGATATTTGTTTTGTACTTCCTTTGACCAGTGGCTGGTGTGACTGAGATTCGAATCTAATCTGTTTCATTTTTATGTAAATTGAAAGGAATAAAGTTTTATTTTAAGCGTTTTAACAATCCTAACGTTTGGCGTGCAGCTCCACTTAATACACAATCAAAGGACAGAATACAGAAATAAGAACATGCCTTTTATTTGTTATTCAAACTCGAGCAATATCCCCGTTATAAAACCAAAATACGCACCTTGGTCATCGCAGAAATGGTCTTACAACAAACCTATATGTGCCGCTTGTGTCTGTAACTTAATAAATAAATGATAAAAAGTACTGAATATAAAATACGATTCTGAATAAAAACTTTAAGAACGTGGTTTGCGTTATTCATTTATTTATTTATAAGAACGCGCTCGTCTTTTGAACTCTATAAATGAGAATGGAAGTGACCATTAGCTTAATTAGTAATAGTAATTGTTGTACATGTATTGCTTTCCTGGGTTCTCTAATAATAAAAAATATACGTTCCCAGATAAAAATAAATAGAAGAAGAATCTAGATAACAGTCTAATAAACAATATCAAGTTTAAAATCCGGCAATAAGCTTACGCGCCGGCCGTTAAAGTTTCTGAATTTAATAACAAAGTACATGTGACTGTAATTATATCCATTGATGTTGTAAACTTTACTACATGTAGGTTTAAACAGAGACGGAGTTATGTTTATGTCTTTTGAACGGTGGCTCTACCTCGATGCATCTGTTAATAAATGATACTATAAGCTTTATTGGATCGTGAATTCACCTTTTCAAATTCAAATCCCCAAAAAATAAAGCACACAATTTAAGCGTGACAAAAAAGAGCAAAACTGAAAACCCGTTAACCTATAGTGCCCGACATTACGTTAATAAATAATTTCCACATGTTGAAATATATCGCTATTTGATTGAGTTCAAGACAGAACTTTTTGGAATTGTTTCACATAATGTAATATTCCTCGGATTTGATGCATACACATGTTTCACAATCAGAGACAAGGGTCTTATGACGGAGTCTTATATTTGGCAAACCAATCAACAAGTAGTATTATATTATCACAAAAGATAAATTACTTATCCCTTTTAAAACTGCGGTTAGGTACCATCTTGATTTCAGTAAAGACAGGCCATCTAGGAATTATTTCTGCCTCTCATTCCTTAAACCGGCTTCGTTAAACAGTGCCAAAATATTTAAGTCGGAGATAAAAACAAGACTATTTTTATATTTAAATCCCCTCACCCTGTCAATGTCTATGCCTGCATCTGGTTTTTCCCACCTTTGGGAGGGAGCTAGTATACACATAGATTACTTACTGGCCATGGACGGGGGGCACAGAAACGAACATTTTGGGGTCATAAGGGATAATTGGGGAAGGGGGAAGGGTGGTGGTGAATAGTGAAGTCCGGGAGTGAAGTTAAGTGGTACTGAAATCTTTCTTTTGATATTTAGTGCTTGAATGGAGACTTGTTTCCACTCCCCACATTCTAGTAGAATTTAAATATTTGATCCAAAGAGTTATTTTAAATCAAACTTGTTAATTATCACTCCCATGATTGTACCGCTTCACTATTGTCTAAGATAATTATAATGAGTTCACGGGACACTATAGTCTTCCTTTTAAACTTTAGTGGTTGGATGGAGACTTGTTTCCCCACCCCGTACACTAGTAAATTTGTAAATTTTAAATATTTGATTTAGGGAGGTATTTGCAATCCAACTCTGATGATGCAAGACTAGTCAGCCAAGACTAAATTATGAACTTATTATCATTTAGACTATTGAGTTCATTAAATTATAATTCCATAGATATCATATTTAATCCTGTCAACACAATCATGGTATTAATTGGCATGATATGTAATCAGAGACGGTTTAAAAAGTTGTTTAGATTAATGATAGTATTAGGAAAAATCCTAATTCAAAGTTTTTGTTCTCTCGCAATACAGAGCAAACCACTCGCCGGGCAAGCATTCTTTAAAAACGTGAAGTTTTCACCATGTTGAGCAGTTTTGAAAATTGTCCAATTTGAACCATCGCCTTGTATATTTTTATAACTGCCCCCCCCCCTTGACACTCGAGTGTAAGAATCCTTTCCACACTGTCAATAGTTTTACAAAATAGTTCATGTCAGGAAGGGGGGAGGGGTGAGTGTGGAGAACAATCACTGACTGCGCATTTGTATGATTGAACATTATACACTTATCATGAATTCGTAAAGTTTAGTTTTAAAATAAACATGAGTTACTTGTAATTATCAGACCAATCTTTTATGGACAATATTATATATCAGACTCCTTTATGGACAATTTTATATATGCAAAGAATTATTAAACGCTTGCTGCATGCAAACATACAACACTTTTTAAATTGGAATACTTTACTTAGTTAATTAACACAGTAGTAGTCATATGACACGCGGATAAGACGTAACTGGTCCGAGGATAAGCTCTATCTATCTCAATAGTGTGAACTTTTTATTCCTGAGAATTAGTAGTTAGTCTTGCTTATTACTTATGGATAACACATAACGTATTCTTTCTTAGTAGTGCTTACAAAATAGTGTTTCCCGTTGTGATCCAGCTGTAAATAACGAGACTCTAACTGTAAATAACGAGACTCCAACTGTAAAAAATAACGAGACTCCAATTGTAAATAACGAGACTCTAACTGTAAAAAATAAGGATGGCGACAAAAAAACAAAAGTAACTTCAACAGATAACGTGTCTGAAACCGAATCCAATAATACAAAGAGTTGTGAGACCAGCATCCTTCAGCAAGAACTGTCAAAAATAACTAGAAAGATGGAAAAATTAGAAAATACAGTTTGCGATCTAATAGACAAAGTGAGTGTGAACAACGTATCACAGAAAGAAACGCGATGCTCAGGAGAAGAATCGACGTGCGAGCATGATACAGAATTACGCAGAGTAAGAAAGATAAGAAAAGAACAAGCTGATTTTGTTACAGACCAAGCCAGAAAAATTAAGGCGTATCAAAGTGAAATTGATCACCAACAAACAATTATAAGTTCAAAAAACAGGGAAATCGAAGAACTAAATGAAAAGATTCAATCAAAGATGCAAGTAATATCCAAACAAGATGATGAACTTCACGATCTTAACACACTGAGGAAGAAAGTGGAGAAACAGGATTCAGTTATCAGATCAAATAAGAATGAAATGGAAGAGCTACAACAAAGAATAAAAAATAAAAACCAGTATTTAGAAGATAAGGAAGAGGAAAATTTTGAACTCAAACTCCAGTGCAAAAAATTAGCACACGAGAAGAAAGACGACACGCCATACACAGTGGTAACCAGGAAATCTAACAATCTAATAGAAATAACAAACGATGAGAATAGCGAAAAGGAACCAACTGTTAAACTAATCGGATCAAGCATTTTGTCCCATGTGGATGGCAAGAGGATGAGCGGACTTAACGTGTCAGTTGAACAGGCCTATACAATTCAACAGGCTAAAGATTACGTAAATGGTTCAACTTCAAAACCAGACATAACAGTGTTCCAGGTATTAAGTAATGATGTCAAATCAGTACAATCAGATGAAAGGATCATCAAATCGATGGAGGAACTGGTCAAACTCAACGAAACAAAGGCTCCGAACTCGAAGATTATAGTGTCCTTACCACCACCGAGAAAAGACAACCCAAAATGGAACCTCCGTCAGAAATCTATAGCTAGCCAATTGGAAGTACTATTCCACGATAACGACAACGTCACATGCTGCCCCAATGACAATCTAGGACTGAATGGCCAACCGAAACCCCATCTCTACAGAGATAACGTACATATTAACGAACAAGGAACTAGAATGCTCTGCGGAAATATACTTCGCACGGTTAGAAAGTTTTGTAATCTCTCCCAACCAGCACATCGTAACAACAATAACATGACCAGCAACAATAACTTTTATGGATCTCGGCCAAGATATAGGCAACAGTATCAAAGATACTAGATTCGGGGCCTGATGGTAATCTAAACTGATCATCAGTGACTACACTAGACGAATTAAACGTTATTTAGTTAAGATGTTTCATTATTTTGTAAAACTATGGTAATTAAGAATGTAATCACGAATTTTACTCATTCATTCCGTTTACGGTTTTAAGTCAAGACATACATGTAGGGCATAGTATCAAAGATACTATCGATAAAGGAACTGTTGGTACTCTAGACTGGTCAGCGAATTTACGACCATAAACGGATTGTTAACTTCTACTCACTCAAGACCAGCGATATTATTGTATTGTATTGTAGTATAATGTAGTATTGTATTGTGTTGTACTATATTGTATTGTAGTATAATGTAGTAGTAGTTTCCGATATGTATTCGATATGTAATCAATATACTCCAGATATGGTTTAAAGCCAGGATATACATGTAGGTCACAGTTTCAAAGACACTTCAGTCAGATAAAATGACTGTATAATTTAGACGGATCAGCGACTAAATAAGTTATATACTCGTTTAATTATATTATAAATTCAAGTAAGAATGTATAATACTTCTACGCATTTAAGACGTTATCAGCAGAAGTACACTATATGCAATCATTACATTATATTTTCAGTATGTCGGGATGTAAGATGTAAGATGTTGAATGTTAATTAACATATTTACGTATTATAATGATATATAAAAATACGACCATTACCACACATTTAAATATCGCTTGCTGGAACGTTCAGGGAATTGAAAGCAAAGTAAGAAACAAATTGCACGATAATGATTTTATCAAAGAATTAATAACACATGATATAGTCTGTCTAACCGAAACACATGGTGATGAAAAAGACCCGATATGTTTTGATAGAGTTAAGGGCTTCACATCATTTTCGGTAAATAGAGCTAAATCTGGCAGGAAACGTCATGGCGGATTAGCTGTACTTATAAGAAATACATATATAGCAGGAACGACAATAATCAAAACGAAGACACCAGATATCCTGTGGGTTAAACTTTCAAAAAAGTTCTTTAATACAAGTAATGACATGTACTTATGTATAACGTATTTTTCACCTGCAAACTATAACCCAAAAGGTAAATTCAACTCAGGGGATGACCCATACGAGATTTTGACAAAAGAAATAAATAAATATTCTAATATAGGTGATGTTATGATTATGGGAGATCTTAATTCAAGAACAGGTGAAGTACGCGATTTTGAAAATAATCACGGTTATGATGATCATATCCCAAACATTCTGCTTTGTCCCAACGATGTCACCATCAATGAACGTTCCAGCATGGATTCAGTTGTTGATGCTTCGGGTAAGAAGCTACTAGACCTATGCAGGTCATCTAATTTACGAATTATAAATGGCAGAGTACTTGGGGACTCGCCCGGTAGATTCACCTGTCATAAATGGAATGGAAGCAGTGTAGTTGACTATTGTATTATTCATGAAAATATGCTTCCAGATATTATGTACTTCAAGGTTCATGATAACCTTTGTGTGCTCTCTGATCATTGCAAGATTTCTCTATTAATGCAAGTACGAATACCAAACGACCACGGTAACAATCGGACTAAAAACAATGGGGATACTATCAAAATGAAACCAATCAAATATAAATGGGACGCCCGTCGCGAGGTACAATTTAAAACGGACCTCTCCAATAATTTAAAAACACGAAATGATATAAATGAACTCAATTACGAGCTAAACGACACCTATAATATTGATGATTGTATTGACAAGCTCGAAAAAATTATAATTAACACAGCAAAAAGAACACTTCGAAAAAAGTTACCCTGTAAAAGGAAAGGGGGCTCGATATCTCAAAAATGGTTTGATAATGATTGCAGTATACTGAAAAGAAAGGTTAAGTCAATTGGAGCAAAACTAATAAAATCACCAAATGATAATATGATTAGAGGTAATTACTTCAAGTTGCTAAAGGAATATAGGAAATGCTGTAAGATAAAACAGAGGAAATTTAAAACTAATATGATGAATAAATTAGAAGAACTTTATGACAATGACCCTAAAGAATATTGGTCCCTACTTGAGCAACTAAGGCAAAAAGACGGAAACAATAAGTCCGCGTATATAACACCAGAGAAATGGCATGAACATTTTTCCAAATTATTTGAAAAGGATAAAAATACCGAAAACAACAAAAAAGTCAACGAAATTGTTAAATCAATAGAAAACGACAATCATTTTGACGAACTTAGCTTCAGAATAACAGAAAACGAGGTTTACAAGGCAGTTAAGCAATTAAAGAACAACAAGAGTTCGGGTTTTAACGGCATTAGCTATGAAATGATTAAAGCGTCATACTCAGTTTTAAATAATGTTATCTGTAAAATGTTTAACATATTACTGAGCAAAACAGTTTTCCCTGAAAAATGGAATATTTCATCAATCGTTACGTTATTTAAGAAAGGAACGACGAAAGACCCTGGAAATTACAGAGGTATTTTTATTTCTGATTGCTTTGGCAAACTATTTTCAATAATTTTGTATAATAGACTTTACGCCTTTGTACATGACAGAAAAATAATATCGGAAAATCAAGCCGGTTTCACAAAGAAAGCACGAACAACTGACCACATGTTCATAATACGAACCCTCGTGGATAAATATATACTAAGTGAAAAAGGGAATATATATATGTGTTTTGTTGATTTGAGGAAAGCTTTCGATACGGTATGGCATGATGGATTATTTTTGAAACTTTTGCAATCGGGTGTAAACGGTTTATTCTATAAAATGATAAAACATATATATTCACAATCAAAAGCAAGAGTCAGACTAGATAATGAGGGTTTATTTACCAATGAATTTGACTGTAACAAGGGAATAAAACAGGGGGACCCCCTAAGTCCTCTTCTATTTAATATATATATAAATGACATTATTAAAACATTAGATCTCAAAACAGACCCATTATTAAATAATAAGCGAATTGGAAGCCTCCTTTTTGCTGATGACTTAGTAATTATCGCATCCTCAAAAGATGAAATGCAAACCAAATTGGACAAATTAGAAAAATACTGTGAAGAATGGCACTTAAATATCAACACTGATAAAACCAAAATTATGGTAATGAATAAAAATGGTAGACTTATTGATAATCACTTCTTTATAGGAAATTACAAAATAGAATCTGTTTCACGATACATTTACCTGGGAATGGAATTAAGCATAAGTGGGTCAATGAGACCTGCAGCCCAGCATATCAAAGACAAAGCTGAAAAGGCAAAATTTAAATTATTAAGTCTAATTTCTAATGGTAATATGAAACCATCATTATGCTTAAAACTATTTGATCAACTCATAAAGCCCATATGCCTCTATGGATCTGATATATGGGGTACGGGTATCTTAAACTCGAGTAAAATTAAAAAAGACCCACAATGGGCATTAGAAAAGGGATATGATGGAATAACATTTGAATCTCTTCATATATCATTTATGAAATCGATACTCGGTGTTAACAGAAAGGCCAGTAATGACGCTACACGAGGCGATTTAGGTAGGTTTCCACTATTTATTTCTTTGTTTTATCAACAAATGAAGGAACCGACTCGCTTCTACGTGAAGCCCTTGAGGTAAATAAACAACTGACAGATATGAATAAACAATCATGGCTCACGCACATCAATGATGTACTTAAATATATTTACAATGGTACTTCACCAAACTATTTAAACTTAAAACCAAGAGAAATTAAGAAATTACTGGAAAATAGATACATACAATTTTGGGAAACTAAAATAAAATCAAATAATGGTAAATTGAGGTTTTATAAGATAATAAAAGCAAAATGGAACAAGGAACCCTACTTGGATTTAATCAAAAATGAAATAGACAGAAATAACTTGACAAAGCTAAGAATTAGCGCACATAAATTAGAAATCGAAACAGGTCGTTACACAAAACCAATTACCCCTATTGAAGAAAGAAAATGTTTAATGTGTAACAAGAAAACCGGTTCAGAATGTCATTACCTATTAGAATGCAATAAGTTAAAAGATGTTCGGTCAAGTTACATGGATAAAATAAAAAAACACTGTCAAAATTTAGAAAACATGAATAACGTGGAACATAAATTAATGTTTCTATTTAATTCAGAGGGAATAATATTAAATATACTAGCAAAATATATATCTAATATTTTTATCGAGAGAGAAAAAAACACGAAATGCATCCAATAAAATCTTGCAATGATCAAGCACCCTTTGATTAGTTAATATACTATATAGATAATTAGTTAAGCTTTTTCATTTTTTTTCTGTTTAAGCTGTACACTTTGCCCAAATGTGGGATACAAGTATAATAAAGCTCATAATAATAATAATAATAATATATAGGGTCTACTTTTCTTATGACAGATTTACACTTACAGTTTGATTTTCTTGTTGGCTTTCTTTAAAGTTTTTAGTCACCCTTCCCTTTAGGCATATGCGCTTATATATTTACAGCCAAGACCTATAACGAATCGAACTCTCAGCTCTACCATGTGTCAGATTGGTATAAGACATTCCTTAATCTCGCAAGGGCACCTATAGGTGGATCTGGCGAAGACTCTCACGACATTTGGTCGTCTATCTGGTAGGTAAAAAAGGGTACCGGTTTCTGGTTCGGAACGATGGCCGGAGATATTTCAACCCTGGCCCAAACCCGATTCATAACACCTAACCATAATTCAAATCCTAATACAAACCAAAACTCCAAACCTTGACCCTAAAGAATCGGAGTTTCACCTAACCGGCTCCGTTAGAATTGACGCTCTTCCATATAAAAACAATCCGACAATTGTTACTGTCAGAGCATGGAGTACTTAGTTTTTTAAAAACAATTTATAATTTGTTAGTCATGATGTATATTACATGCGATGGGTATTTAAAGTAAATGTCATAACTCCAGTTCTTAGCGTGAACTGCCTTTGGTGCCACGAGCACTTAGGGTTAACTTATTAAATATTATGCATATGACTTGCACTGCGGGCAGTTCAAAAACGCAGTCAAAAGGAGGAGGGAGGTTAGGGCAACAGATTTTGGACAATCACATGTTGGATTTCGGCCATTTCCTGGGGATTTAAACAGGTGCATATGTTAGGCGAATGTTTTACCTCCAGGAAAATCACTTCTAGAGATGATAAAATAATTTTGACTTTGAGACGGGGTAGATGCAAACAACCCACCCACATGTTTTTTCTGAAATGTTTTCCTGATTTTCAACCCCTTCCATCCTTTCTTTTTTAATTTTTCTTGTATCAATATGTTGCGTTTTGACACACAGTTGATCCCTTAAAAGGAATAAATGATTCCATTTAGATAAAGTGGAAAACAATATTTTCCATGTTATTTTCCCATAGGAAAAATCATTGCTTTCAGCTAAGTTTGGTCACCCATAATGGGTATCTTTAAAACCCCTGCAGGAATCACTTATTCCTTTAAAGTGGTTAACTATGTGTCAAAATGCAACATATTGATGCAAGAAAAATTTAAAAAAGCAGGGATGGAAGGGGTCGAAAAATAGGAAAACATTTCAGAAAAATCATGTGGGTGGGTTGTTTGCATCTAACCTGTCTCAAAGTCGAAATTATTTTATCATCTCTAGAAGTGATTTTCCTGGAGGTAATGCATTGGCCTAACATATGCAATTGTTTAAATCCTCAGAAAATGGCCAAAATCCAACATATGACTGTACAAAATCTGTTGCGCTAATTTCCCTCCTCCTTTACAAACAAATCGAGATATTGTATCTATCTGCTTTTAGTACTTACATAGATAGTCCGAGGAAAGAAATCTTACACAGTTTAAACGTGGAGATGCCAAAACTAGGAAAACCCCTCTATAAAAACACCTTTGACAGTTCAATTCAGGCTGTACTGAGAATGGACAATTTCAAGTTGTTCACAGGGAGTATGTTAATATTATAATTACCAACCGAGTGTCACAAAGTGCTCAATATATCGATTTCTAAAATTCATGCATGTTATGTAGTTATCTATGTCAATAAACTGACTTATAAATAGGATTGATAATTTATATTCAAACTTATGTAACCATTCTTGTTCACATTAGTCAGTCATTTCATCACAATATGCTCCATCTAAAGGGACCAAAGTGGGAGGTTTTACTGGTTGGACCGCCCCGGCCGAGTACCCCAATCTTGTCACGATTGAACCAAACCCTGATGACGTCAGCAATATACATTTATACAATATCAAGGACGATCCAACTGAGAAGAAGGACTTGAGTGCAGCTAACCCGTCACAGGTGAGAATAGTGTAAGAATAGTAAGGTACTATTCCAGGTTTTCGTCCTTATGAGGGAGTTTAAGCTTGCAATGTTTTTCACAACCTAGACGTAAACGTAAAATATTTAAACAATTCATGTGTACGGTCGATTGGTCATACGTATAGGTTGTCGTTTCGATTTTATATGCAAGCTTAAACTCCCTATTTTCAACCATTGAACGTTTGCAACCATTGGTTTGAAAATATAACAACTTTCAAATGTCGGTGTGCTAGCGCAGACAAAATATCAGAAACACATAAAAAACGGATATTTCAATCAGACCAATTCATTGTGACGAGTATTGCAGAAAATAAAATAAACTAGTCCTGTCATAATTTGGAATGAATCTTATTCCAGGTCAAAGTAATGTTAGATCGATTGAAGGAGCTCCAAAATGGCACCATAAGGGAACCACACCCTTGTCCTGATCCCAAAGGAAAACCTAAACCCGTGAAAATAAATGCACGCGAAAGTGTTGACGCATGGTTACCTTGGTTATAAATAAACAAAAATAAATAAATAAATAAATAAATAAAAGAACATTCGCATGGAGAAGAGTTGTCTTATTTATGATTTTATTGCCTTGTATGCATCTGCAAGCATATAAATAAATTGATTGAAATATATTTCTTAAGCCAAGTCAAATAGTCCGGCCTTTAAAATTGTTAGAAGTATCGTCTTCAAGAATCAAGGTAGGATGATAGTATAGCACCGAGCATAGTTACATACCTTGTAACGTCATCAGTTGACACACATCGTTTATAATCATTTACAATGAATTTCTCTGAAAGGGGACGACTATTTCGTAAGTTGTTGTTTAACTTGACTCAAAAGTATTTATGATACCATATTAAGAATATTTATGTTTTGAAATCTTTATGTATTCACTTTGAGACAAAAGTACACAAACTTAGCGAGATCTCCTTCTCTCTGTCTGTGTCTCTGTCCATACATGCAAATGGTTGTTTATGCGTTATTCAATTGCACATTATAATTTATATATGTTGTAAACTGTTTTGATAATCTTAAATACAGCGAAGCAAAAAAAGATAACAAATATGGTCCTCTCCTAAAGGCTTATTGTGCCAAGTCAACACTTCGTTTATGCAAATGTTCCACCATGTTTAACCAAACATGAACATTTTAAAAATAAATAATTTACGGGACACTGCTCTGTTCGCACTCGATTTGTAGAATGCATTTGCATCTTTATCCACAACAGCAAAGCTACAGGAACTTGTTTTGTCAGCCATATTATAAAGTGCTCCAGCGTCGTAAGAATCGATTGCCTTCTGGCCATTATAAAAAACCTCCAGCAAATTCAGATCACCATAGTACGCAGGGACAATATATACGTAAAACTTTTGCAATTCTTGTAATGCTTTTCTCAGCTCCATTTTTGGTTGCGCTTTGTCCTTGCTTGCTACTACGATGTTACGTCCGTATTGTCCAAAAAGTATGTGCCCACCACATACGTTCGCTTTATGTTTAGACGAAGCAGTTATCGGATCGTAAACTAAAACAAACCACACCCGCCAATAATACTTCTTCTCTAATAAACTGAACAATCCGCTGCTTAATTGTTCATTACTCATTCCGGTATTATCCCTGGCATATTTTAATATTTCCTCTTTAGACTGGATATGGTACCTATTCTTAACGTCTTCGTCGATCTGTCGATATTTCAGTCTTAAGTCATTCAGTCTTAACTCCCATTCATTTTCCCTTTCTTGTTTTATCCTTGTAAATATATTCATTTCGTAATAACCAAGTTCAAGTATAATTGCTTGTAAGATCATGTCAAGGATTCCGAGAAGAAAATATTCTGTCATTTTGCGGTCATTTTGTGTGTAACGCATTACCGATTGTCTAAGGTTTTCGTTAAAGTAGCCTTGTTGAGTAACAACTGCCAGGTACAATCTTGTGCCAGCAAGCTTATAATTGTCGTCGTAGCTCTTTATAAATACGGATTTTTTATCTGCCTCCGGTGCTGAACTAGAATAAAAGAGCCGGTATTCTTCTGTCAAAACCTTGAGTGATGTTTGTATTTCCCCAAACTGAACCGATGTTTCAGCCCACTTAATTAATCGTTCAACATCATTAAATCGAGAGTCTACCCTGTCGAAGTGGGTATTAATTTCGTTCATCATTTTTTTCATAAATGTCAACTCTGCTGAATCTTCTGCTGGCACGAATGTCTTAACTAAACCAATAAATGGGCCCAATGCACCCTTTAGCATTAATTGCTACTTTTGTTATCGTTTCATGAAACTTATGTTCTTTAATAAGATCAAAAATTTATTTTCCCATCTGCAAGCCTTTCTTGATTGCTTTCTTTTCTGACGTAGTAATACTTTCAGCTGTTCACCTTAAATAGAAACAAACGTTTAAAAATAGCATACCATTGGAATGTATTGCGATTTATTTTGTTGTCAAAAAGTTCAAAATACGAAAATCCAAAAATGTACTTCTTATTATTGACGTATTATCGATAGTGTTTCACAAGCGTATTTGCATATTCATTCTGTGTTCATATTCTATATCATTCTAAGTTATGGTCATCATAATTTTGCATTGTGTTTCTAAACTCTGATATGACGTCGCAACTTTTAACGAATTGGTGTTACAGCAGGGTTGACGGTATGTAAAATAACGTATCTTCCAAATGGTTTCACAGTAGACGGACCAATGCGACGATTTAAATCACAGTTACCATTCTCACCAACAAATCCAATTTCTTCAGAAATAATTCCATTATGTCACACTATTCACCCCTTTCGCTTTCCGTACTTAAAGGCTTATTGGATTAGTAGAGATTGATATTAATCTAGATTATAATCGAGAGAAAAGTCCATATAAACGTATTTTATTCGGAAGTCTTCTGAAAATGGCACGTTCTTTTCGATACATTTTATTCGCTATCTTAACAACTGCACTAGTATTGTATTTTTCAGTTTTAAGATTGCTGAGGCAAGTGACACCATCTGGTGTGCCTGTACATAAAAAACAAAAGACAGAGGTAAATCTAACCTGTGACAGAGGATTCAATCTGAAAGGATATTCAAAAGAAAATCGGAATGAAGATCTCATCATCTACACTGAATTATCCAAATGTGCAAGTACAACGTTTATGCAGATTTTGTCAGATGCTTGCGATTCTTCTAAAAAGTATTCAACGCATTATACAAAGCCTCTGGTGATACAGAATCTACTTAAGGTAACCGACTTGTCAAGTAGGCAGAAATTTGTTAAAACACAAGTTCTACCATTCACAAAAAAGCCATACATCTTTAGGGGACATTTAGGTTTCTTTGATTTTAATGAGATGGGATACAAGCAGCCTTTATTCATAGACTTAGTTCGAGATCCCGTCGAAAGGTGGATAATGTATCTTTGTATTACTATCATACGTCAAATTCGTACCATATAAAGCGACTGAAACTTACACGTGCCGAGATTAAACAAACTCTGGGGTACTGCCTCCAGTTGTGGATACGACAGTCTAATTGCATGGGTAGAAACGCGAAGGAGACAGCAATGTGTTTAAAAACCAGACCATTTTCTGGATGCAAAGGGACACATATTGAATCAATATACCCAAGGTGGTTTTCTGGTCAATATATGGACATCGATTCTTCCATGGTGTCTATTGAAAGAGCTAAAACCAATATTGAGAAATATTATTCATTCATTGGAATAACTGAGCATTTCAAAGAAACATTGGTTGCCATGGAGACTATTTTACCTCGGTTTAAAAATGAATTGTCTGTGGCATACAAACAAAAAAAGAAGAAAAAAGTAAATGTCGGGCACAATAAAGTTCGACCAAACAACGCAAGTATTGCCGTGATGAGAGAAGTGTTAGCAGATGATTATGACCTCTATAAGTTCATACTCCAACGATTTTACATCCATATGACGTGTCTGGGTGTTCACGTTGGCTCCAGCAATTAGGCAACAACGATTCAAGATTCTAAGTTGAAAAAATTAAAAAAACATATGCTGGGCTTTCAATAGCAGGGGGCGAGAGTCCAAAATCGCCGTTTGTTTTCTATAATTCGCTGGTTGTCAGAAGCCAAATATTGTCTTTAGTTTTAGGGGGGGGGGGGGAGATTAAAAAAGTCACATCATTTTATCAGTACTTATTGAACGCCCTGTACATTGTATACACACAGGTTGCATTCTATTCACACAGGTTGCATTCTATATTGAGTGTTCAACCCGGGAAGTGCATTTGAATTTGTAAAATGAAACCTGTGGAAGAGTAAATCATAATTTATTTTCATAAGAATATAAAAGGTAAAAATGGCATTCTACGAGGGTTGTCCCAGAAGTAATGCACTATATGCTCTAACTTTATCAATAATTGATATTTTTCTATGAAATTTTCAGGAAATGTTCCTGAGAGACATTTTGATTATTCTAGAAAAATTCAAGTCGACTGATAAAACTATATTGATGTTATAATAAAATCAAGTCGGTGCGTTTGGGTAGGGCGGGGCAGGTTATACAGTCACGTCAAAAGGAATAAAAAATTGAAAATATGAAATAATTAATCAACAAATGCCATTTGGTGTAGCTACAAGAAGTATGCTCAAAAATACATTTTATGATACTAAATTACTCTGAGCACATTCTAGATTTAATGAATGTATATTGCACAGTGTCCCATTTCACATTTTCTCAAAATATTGCTCTTTGCTTGTTATGTACTTTTGATGCCTGTCAGGTCAAACACTCTCGGCAATTTCTTCAACTTTGACTTGTGGAGTTTTTGCCTCCTATGTTTTGAGTTGTCATCCAGGGTCAAATCGTCTCTTTTAAATCTCTTCTGCCACCCTATAATTGTACTTCTATCTGGTATATACTCCTTATATACTTTCTTCATGGTAGCATTGTTTTGCGTGGCTGTGAGTCCAAGTGAAGTATGAAATTAGGCCACCAAACGCAAGGCCTTCTGTTATCAGATGAGAATTGCAGCCATTTTTGAAATTTCTAGACTGTGACTGTATTTGAATTCGTGACTATATAAATGTGGTATTATGACATCACAGTGATAAATGTCATTATTTGTACTTGGTTAACATCATGCTGAATAAATTAAACAATTTCCCAAACATTTTGACCATTTAAAGGAAAGAAATGTTAATAAAATAACACTTTAGATCTTTTCATAATTAGAAAAATTGGTACCTGCCCCGCCCACCCCTACCCCCATGTTGTTATAGCAACCATATTGAGACTTAATATTAATGTTGGATGCTGAAACTTCAGTATATAATAGATAAAACTTCAATTGTTACATACACAAAATTTCAGCTGAATTGAAGAATATTAAAGAAAGTTAGAGCATATAGTGCATTACTTCTGGGACAACCCTCGTATATAAGTTGCCCTAGTCATTCCACAGTTCAAGGTGTTATTTTGTGTAGCCCGTGTCTTGTGGTCAATTAAATTGACAATATCACACGTGGAAATGACTTTGGAAAACCTGCAATACGTAAAATCTTTTAAATCACCTCTCAATAGGATTCAATGTTCAAAACTTTGAATGACTGTGCAATACTCTTGTATATGAGATACATTGTCTGAAATATATTCACAGGTGAATTGTTCATCCTTGCACTTCTGTGACATTTAGTATATTTTGCCTTTAATCTTACAAGAACAATAATAAGTGGATTAGATCAAATTTAATTTCGACATTCCCTGTCCATTCATCCACTTTCGGTGCGCCGACGCTATAATAACACTGGTGCTCCACTCGATTACGCTGGTTACCGAAACGGCTCGTCATGGTAACAAAATGTCGGAACATCGAAGGTACGATTTTTCTTTTTCCTTATTTCACACGTTGTATGCAGAATTTCCACGACATCTTTTACACAAACGTGTATCGGTATCATATGTTTAAGAAAATGTACATATTTTTGAATAAATAGTTCAGAAGACAACAGAATCGTCTATTTAATTCCTCACTTAAGTTACATAAACGGTTTTTCGAAAAACAGGTAAGATCTGCACTTTTAACCCAAACCGTTTATGTAACTTAAGTGAGGAATTAAATCGACGATTCTGTTGTCTTCTGACCTATTTTTTCGCAAACATGTACATTTTCTAAAACATAATTATGGTGCTGATACTAGTTTGTGAGAAAAAATGTCGTTGGGATTCTGCCTAAAACGCGCGAAATAAGGAAAAAAGAAAAATCGTACCTTCGACGTTCCAACATTTTGTTACCAAAACGAACCGTTTCGGTAACCAGCGTAATTGAGCGGATCACCAGTGAATAACAAGAATTTGCATTTTCGGGAGTGTAAAATTGGTTATTTTGAATGCCGCCCCTTGTATTTCTCATCTGCCTCTTGTAAAAAAGTTACTGAAACCACTTATGGAATAAAGGTCATTAGTGACGCCCAAAATACATTTTATGCCATGTTTTTTGTATTTTTGTATTGCATTATGTACATACACATGTTTACAATGACATGGAGGAGACACCTGTTGGATTTTGTTATTAGTGTGTTTCATTGTTTCTTTATTATATTCAACTAATTAAGCTACATGTATGACTAGTTTACGATGTATAATTGCTTCATTAAAGGATGGGGCTCGCTTTGCGATGGGTGCTTTTAGCCCCATATTATATAATATTACATAATATTGTTTTTGTATTTGACTATACACATGTATGTTGTAAAATATATGTATACATGTAATTTATTATTTGTGAAAAATTAATACAAGCAAATTGAGCCACCAACCGCATTGTTATATGTTGTTCTTTCTAATTGGGTAACGTCTAGTATCACATGACAGAAACGTGACATAAATTTCGATAATGACAATTATCTTATTTATAGCACTGCTTCATCTTCTTTTGGAGTTTTAATGGGCGGTCCTTCGGATCTAACCAATCCACCAATCATAATAATTCACAGATTTAGTTCATTATAATAATCAACTTTGTAGATAGCCCTCCCTTGAAGGGATACATTGTACATACTGCTTATTAGATGAGAACACGTGTATTTATATCTGATAGTGATACGTTTTATCAATATTAACTGTATTCTATGATAAATGTAACATAAATATTATAATTTAACCTTCACATCCCCTCCTCCACCCTATTTTTAGCCCCATATTATATAATATTACATAATATTGTTTTTGTATTTGACTATACACATGTATGTTGTAAAATATATGTATACATGTAATTTATTATTTGTGAAAAATTAATACAAGCAAATTGAGCCACCAACCGCATTGTTACATGTTGTTCTTTCTAATTGGGTAACGTCATAGTATCACATGACAGCAACGTGACATAAAATACAGTTATGAGATTTCTGCAATGATCATAATTTAGGGTTAAATCAAAGTGCTGGGTACTACATAAGAATCAGTTCTTTACTCTTTAACCAAACATAAACATTTTGACATAAAATAATTCACGGGACACTGCTCTGTTCTCACTGGATTTGTAGAATACATTAGCATCCTTATCCACGACAGCAAAACTACAGGAACTTGTTTTGTCAGCCACGTTGTAATATGCTTCAGCGTTGAGGGGGTTGAGTACCATTGTGTCATAGTAGACCTTCAATATTCCATAATTCTGCATGAAAAGAGTAACAAATTTTTCGGAAAACTTTTGCAATTCTTTTAATGCGTTATTCGGATCCATCCTCTGTTCAGCTTTGTCCTTGCTTGCGACAACGATGTTACGCCCGTTTTGTTCAAGTAGAATATGTCCACCACACACATCCGCTTTATTGCTATAGGAACCAGTAATCGGATCGTAAACTAAAACAAACCACACCCGCCAATAATACTTCTTCTCTAATAAACTGAACAATCCGCTGCTTAATTGTTCATTACTCATTCCGGTATTATCCCTGGCATATTCTAATATTTCCTCTTTCGACTGGATATGGTACCTATTCTTAACGTCCTCGTCTATCTGTTCATATTTCAGTCTTAAGTTATTCAGTCGTGTGTTCCACTCTGTCTCCCTTTCTTGTTTTATTTCTGTAAACATATTCATTTCGTAATAACCAAGTTCAAGTATTATCGCTTGTAAGATCATGTCAAGAATTCCAAGAAGAAAATATTCTGTCATCTTGCGGTCATATTTTGTGTAACGCATTACCGCTTGTCCGAGGTTTTCGTTAAAGTAGCCTTGTTGAGTAACAACTGCCAGGTACAATCTTGTGCCGGCAAGGTTATAATTGTCGTCGTAGCTCTTCATAAATAAGGACTTTCTATCAGCTTCTGGTGCTGAACTGGAATAAAAAAGACGATATTCTTCCGTCAAAACCTCGAGTGATGCTTGTATTTCCCCAAATTGAATCGATATTCCGGCCCACTTAATTAATCGTTCGATGTCATTAAAGCGAGAGTCTACCCTTTCGAAGTGGGTATTAATTTCGTCCATCATTTTTTTCATAAATTCCAACTCTGCTGAATCTGCTGCTGGCACGAATGCCATAACAAGACCAATAAATGGGCCCAATGCACCAAGGAACCCTTTGACATTTGTGGCAACTTTTGTTAACGTTTCATGAAACTTTTGTTCTTTAATAAGATCAAAAATTTCTTTCCCTGTTTGCAAACCTTTCTTGATCGCTTGCTTTTCTGACGTGGTAATGCTTTCGGTTTTGGGCACCAACGCCAAAACTATCACTGCAAAAACCCATAGTGATAGAAGTACACCTAAAACAGAAACAAACATATTAAAAGGGTTTGATGAAGCGGAAGCTGTTACACTCCCCTCCATAACTTTTGCAACCCTCACTCTCTCATTGGGCAGACCCGTAGCCAGGGGGGGGGGTCAAAATCATGCACTTTTTCACCATTTTTAGCACTTCTCAAGTGATTTTAGCCATATTTCGGCCAAAATTGTCAAATGTGAACCCCCCCCCTGGAAATTTTTGAAAACTGAACCCCCCCTTGGCAAATCCTGGCTACGGGCCTGTTAGGGTACGTGTTAAAGCCTCTTTATATTTGAATTTTTATTTAAATACCAAGCAATGGAAATACTTATGATGAAGGTTTAAATGTAAAATGAATTTATCAATCACAATAGGTCGAACATTGATCGATAACAGATTTGAAGAGTTTTTGAAAATTGTCATTCCCATGTAAACCAATGATAAATGGTGGGTTCGGGGCAAATCAGATATCTATTCAGGAAATGCTTCACCAAAAATATTTTTATATAGACAATTGAGTTGTCTAACCTTTTGTACGCCAAGTATTAATTTACTTTGTGAACATTTACGTTACAGAGCTTCAAAGTCATTTTTGAAAATCATTTTCGCCTCTTGTGTTTTTTGAATGGGAGAGGTTTCTTGAAAAATAACTTCGGCTTTAGAGACATATAACTTTGTTGAACGTGAAGAATCATATCATATTTTGTTCAACAAAGTTTGCAAAATGAATTTTCTATCTAATCCTTTAGAAGAATATTTACAGATTAATTTGAAGAAGATACCTAAAATGTGATTACCATTACCTGCAGAGAACGTCAAATTATCTGCATGAACTTTTACTGAGGAATAAAAAAATTGCTTAAATAGTTCACTGAAAAGAACAACATAATAAATGAAACGCATGGACATTTAGTCTTCATTTGTTAGGCAACATTTTAATGATTGTGGCTTGTTAACTTTTGGTGCTACACATAAATATGGTTCAAACAGCCAGAAGATCTTAAAACTCTAAAATGGATAACCTCGACTGAAAGAAGAAGCCATATTTTCCATTTTAATTGAAAGGAAAAATTAATTTTCCACCCTATGCCAATAGATTATTTAATAAACATTTTCTTCAACGGTTTTACGATTTACTTTGTCCCAAGAGATATCAGTATTTCATTCAGAAAGAACCGCATGTTTGCTGCTATAGAATCATGCGATAGTCTACCTAATGATTTTAAAGTTTGTATTTTTGAAATGAAACATGTATACAAGTCTTGTAAAGCACAAAAACTGAAATTATATTGGACCAAACTCATTCCTTAAAAGTCAATTACATGTATTTGCCAATCATTTCACTAACGTTCGCCAACGTATCTTTGTAATCATTACAAATTCCAGCTCAGTCCTATACGAAGAGATCGAACCATTTCCAGAGAAGATGGTGACAAAAAATAAGAATAGTGTTTAAGATTTATTAAGTAAAACAAAAATTAGTAATAACGATAATATACTTCTTCCGAAAGCTACTTTGACATTATTTAAACAACCATCAGTGACAAACGGATTCTCACGCCATTATATAATAATTACATGTATAGTTAGCAATCATTGAAATTGAAATTATTTACACATTGAAATATAAAAGTAAATAAATTGTCAAGATGGGGAAGAGCCCGGGGAAGAGCATGATATTAATAATATACAGTTTATGTATATAATTTCATCTTACCTCCAAATTGCTGTAAACAATGCATGTTCGCGTCTGAAGTCTGGATAAGTCAGTCTGGTAGTCACTAACATGAAGCCATCTTTGCTCATTTCTATTTAAAAGTAGAATCAATTTATCAGCTTCATATGTCACTGAATTATTTAATAAATACTTACATGAACCAAATAGAATTCTAAGGGCTGTCAGAGAGTATATTGTGCCTCTAAATATCAGCATTTCATTTAGAAAAACTACATATTTTGCTGCGATTGAAGAATGGAATGGTCTGCCTAATGATTTAAGAAATTGTAATAGAATATCAACTTTTAAAGGCAAACTTAGAAAGCATTTCGGGAATGAAAAATGTATAAATATAATAGCATCACTTGATATCACTAGAAAAACTGAAATTATATTTAACAGGTTAAAAGTGGACCTATTTCTAAAAAGTCAATTATTTGCTCATCACTTTACAAACATTGACTCACCAGCCTGTAACTGTGGTCATGAAAATGAAACCCCTACTCATTTTTTCCTCAAATGCCCTCAATTTGTAAATGATAGAATCCAACTACTTATAGATCTCCATATTATTGGTTGTTTAGAAAAATTCTTAGATGCTAACTCTGTTAGCAAAGTAAATATGCTCCTGCATGGTAACAGTGAACTTAGTAATGAAGATAATACACTTCTGCTGAAAGCAACTTTAAAATTCCTACAAGCAACCAAGATTGACTAACATGTATATTACACCATCCCATAATTTACACCACTGCACACATTTTTTTGTAAAGCATTCCAATATCAGCTTTAATTGTACTTTTTCCTTTTTGTTTATATATGAATAGTTACGAATAATTGTAACAAATTTGTATTGCATATAAGTGTATGGTATATTTACTGCGAAGTTCAACACAAATGTTAAATTGATTAACCTTGTTGAATTTTCATTGTATGAAATTAAATGTTATAATATATGAACTTGAAATAAAAAAAATGATTAATAAAAAAAAAAAAAACACGCGGCAAGCACAGTTAAGAGATCTACATATCATTACCATTATTCATATTATCATACAGGGTAAGCCAAAAAAGGTAACACAAACACATGTTAATAACTCAGGCACTCAACATGGGTTTAGTGTCATAATTAGCATTACGTACCCTTTTAAAAGGTCTACCAAGATTATTTGGTTTTCAATTGTCACAATTTTATGAGCATTTTACGGAACATGCTATAAAATATCGGCGTCGTGTTTGGACAAATTGTGTAATGGCTCCAATTTTCTTTCTTATCTTTTGTGTAAAGGGTTGCTAGTGAAAAAATTGGCAATTTTTGGTATTTGGCATATGTAAAGTAAATGGCTATAAAATCGTGACCTCTCTGGATATTTAGAAGAAAGAAAGAACATTAAGCAATGTTTAATTATCTCAAATGTAATTTTAAATCCATACTGAAATACTCAGTTATAAATTTACATTTACCTGGGTTACTTTTTTGGCTCAAAAAGTGTATGTTGACATTAACTTTAACTGTCTTGATCTAGTTAATATAGAACATCGCATCATACCAAAAGCCTTAGTATGTGTTAGCATGAAGGTTTTTGACAGCATCACCTTTTCCACTAGTTGCCTGGAAACGCGTAGACAAAATAATTAAATGGGACACCTGCTCACGTGACCAAAACGCCGATCACAATGTACCGCCATAATGTGCAATAAAAACGCTTTGCGATATCCAATTCAAATAATGGAAACTTCTGAATTAAGAACAATATGTTTAAATTCATTAGAATAAGATGTTCATTTGACATTGTAAAATAGGATCGAATTAAAGCACTTTCAAAATAGTCAAGCGTTCAGAATATCCCTACATGTAGTTAAATTTTATCTACCCTGTGTATTTTCATTTTTTTATTGATGTACAATATATAATCATATCACAAATTTAACATTCATTCAACACCTGTATAACATAGGAATATGCAAAATCCCCTTATGCTGATAAGACTTTGGAAACTAATTTAAATGTATCATGTTATCTCGAGTGTATTAATAACGTACACTCCCCTCCATAAGTTTGGCAACCTTTTTTCCCCCATTGAACTACGTGTTAAAGCCTCTTTACCTTTGAATTTTTATTTACTTAACCTGCAATCAAAATACTTATACTATTGATGGAAACGTAATTTCACTTTAATTCCAATACCTCCAAATTTTCTCAATTTTTTTCCTCAATTACAGTAGGTCGAAAATTGATGATGAATTTGATGAATTTTTGAAAATCGACATTCCCATGTTAACCAATGGGAAATGGTAGGTTTGCCGCAAGTCATATGACAGAATATCCATCCATCCAAGTCCTTGCAAAAAATACGAGTTAGGCAGGTAATTGAATTTGCTAACTTTATTTAACAAAAAATTGATATGTTTCTTCAGGTTCAACAAAGTTATAGGGCTTTAAAGTCAAAATTGTTTTTCAAAAAACCTCTCCCATTGAAATAACACAGGAGGCGAAAAATTATTTTCAAAAATGACTTTGAAGCGCTGTAACTTTAATATTCATCAAATAAACTAAACACTTAGTGTTCAAAAAAGTTAGACAATTCAATTTTCTATATGAAAAATATTTTTTGCTGAATCTTTTACTGAAAATATATCCTGATTTCTGATTTGCCCCGAACCCTCCATTTCCCATTGGATTACATGGGAATGACGATTTTCAAAAATTCATCAAATTTATCATCAATTTTCGACCTATTGTAATTGAGGAAAAAAATTGAGAAAATTTGGAGGTATTGGAAATAAAGTCAAGTTACGTTTCCATCAATATTATAAGTTATTTTGACGCCGGTTAAGTAAATAAAAATTCAAACGTAAAGAGGCTTTAACACGTAGTTCAATGGAGAAAAAAGGTTGCCAAAAATTAGAATATTAATTTGTATGGTAATTGCCATTTTTTCAAATGATATAAAACCCTCATGGCTTTTCCGAATGCATAATGTCGTAGATATAATAATATTCCAATAAAACGGTATTTACGACGCGGTTTATTGCTTCGTGTGATGCTTGATTAAAAGATTAACAGAGGAAACGAGTTACAAATCCCAAATTTTGTTGTTGTAACTAAAATGGTGAAATTGAAGAGTTAATTTAAAACTCAAATGGAGACTTTCGTAATATTAAAACGACCAATGATCACGACTCTGATCTTCGAAATTGTAACTTAACATTAAAGTCTCGCTTTTAATGAGATTTCATGAGATCTGCATTTTTAACAAATAAAGACCAACAGTTTCTTCCATTTGATGGAATATTTGAATTCTGTGTGAAATTTTCTGAAAAAGATCGGGCTAAATCCCCATTGACACAGTATTGATGATCCAAGTGGAACTACTTCTTAAATCAAGAAATTATGTGACTCTTGCTATAGGCTGCCATGTTATCTTGCCTTACCAACACCCATGATGCCGTCTCTTTTTCCATTTATACGCAAAAGGGTCTATTGGAAAACGCTTGCTTTTGTGCCGTCCATTGGACGACGCCATGTATGAGATCTAGAAATGGAGTTGTCGTAAGTATGACCTTTAACACCCTACTCAACAACTAAATAAAGATAAATTAGGTTATCGCTATCTCTTGGCCCCGGGTTCGATTCACGGTTCAGACAAGCTTCCCCCAAACCAGTCAGTACTTAAATCACAGGTAGAGTATATTTGGTTGAACCTAGGGTAATGACACGGTGTACGCCATTTCCCATCGTCATTTATGTAGAGAGAGGTCGCGAGGAAGCATAGAACAAGAACAAATTGGGTAAAAAGCTTTGCCGACGATTGACATGTATTCAACATCGAATTATATAAACAATTTAGGTTACAAATATGGTCGGTCTCCCTTCGAACTTTGTTCGGTGTGATTAATATACGATTCCAAAAACCAGCACTCTTAACAACATGTACTATTTTGAACTTCCTCTGAATGGCTCTGATCCACTGTAAAATATTTGATGTGAATAAAGATTAAAATGTGAATAATGTTATCTATCTATTCATGATACATGTAATAACGTAAATGATCCGTCTAGTCTCATAGCAGATCTGTTGAATGCGGAAAACAAGTACTGCAATTGATTCCTAGAACAAGTTGGCCAAACTGCATAAGCGAATATGAATCGTTTTCAGAGATTTGGAGGTAAATTGATTTTTTTTGTTCCAACAAGGTTCGGATAGATATTTTATTTCCTTCTGGAGAATTGGTTGAAAAGACACAAAAGCAACTGCACTAAAACAATGTTTACTTTACTTAAGCAAATATATAAAATATTCAAAAATAATTTTCACATTAAATTTTGGTGACCATTACATACTCTCACTGGGATTTAGAACAACAGGCATTTACCCCAAAGCAATAGGCAAACATTTTCTAAAAATATTTGCCGCTCGCTTCGCACGCATTATTGTAAAATGTCACCCCTCGCTTAACTTGCAGAAATATTTGCAACTCGCTTTGCTTCCATGAACAAGGGCTTGACCCAAGGTTTTTAATTTTAAGTTGAAGTGTGAAATACCCACATTTAAGTTCCGTCCTCCATTTTGGAAATGAGCGATATTTTGCTTCGAGACTATGGAAAATGGCAGAATTGAAAATACTGATTTTAATTTTAGACGAAAACGTGCAATATCTCATTAGGAGGACATCCGTTTCCATTTCAATTGATGAAATATTAACACAATGTTTATTAAAATATTATTTCAATTTATTGCAATAGTTTACGGTGGTCCAGATGGAATCACTTCTTGCCAAGAATTGGCTAGAGACTCGAGTAACCTTGTATAATCCCCCTCATTCATTTGCATTATCTAATTGAGGCTACCATATTGGAACACAGGTAAAATACTATTATCATCAAGAGTATTTTGGTTATATAATGGTCAATGATCTGTCAGCATGCCATTATAAAATCATTATAAAAAAGTCAGGTAGGCAATGTATTTGAATAAGGAATAGAGTGCCATTAATCTGCATATAGGCCATCAGCTTCGACCCAGAATTTAGCTTATCGGTACCAAGTTAGGGGAATAATGCTCATAGTGATTTTTAGCAAGGTAAATACCTCCAGAGTAAGGAAATATGTGATAGCATTGCAGGAGTGGTAGCTTATGGGTGTTATCGCCCATTTTTCAGAATGGCTGCTATTGCGCTTTTTACCAAATAAAAGAAATCATATCTTAGTATAATGAGAGGCAAAAACGGTGATTTTGAAGTCTGTTTCTGGGTTTAAGGGGTCAAGGATTTCATTTATGTCAAAATCTAAGTCATCAAAAAATTCCTTTATATGGAAATCTAAGATGGCCACCAAAATGGGTCTCAAAACAAATATGTTACTATTGATATAAGCTAAAAAAAGCTCAAAGAACGGTTAAAAAGTGACTTTGGAGACCATGAATAGTAGGTTTTAGAGGCTGAGGATTTTATTTGTGTCTAAAATTAAGTAATAATAGAAATCCTCTATATGAAATTCCAAGATGGCCACCAAAATGAGTGCCAAAATGAATATGTAAACTGTTTATATAAACTCAAAGAATAGTTAAAAAGTGCTTTTGCAGACCATGATAGGGTTTTAGAGGTTAATACAGATTCCATCCAGATAAATCTAGGTGATTAAAGAATACCTTTATATAGAAATTTGAAATGGCTGCCAAAATGGTCAAACATATGGCTGCTAAAATGAATTTACATGCACATAGAAAAGTTAGAAAAGTAATGTACGTAATAGATATCTGAAACTAGGTTTCTTGGGGAAATGGTTTCAATTTAGCCTTTACCAAAGTCATCTTGACCTTTCCTCATATTAAAATCCAAAATGATCACCAAAATGGCTGCCAAAATGAATATTTACATGCACATACATGTATATAAGCATTAACAGAGGATGTTGGCAAGTGATTGTGGTATCTTTGACTAGTTAACTAGGATCTAGGGATTGAGGATTTCAGTTACCACTGAAATTTTTTCTTTTTACTTTAATTGTTAAATTGTTGTCTTGATGAAAATCAAAGATGGCTGCCAAAATCGCTGCCAAATTGGCTGTTGGTTTAGTTTTTTCCTATTTTCTAGCTTATTTCTCTCTTTATCTGTTATAGCCTCTATATTTTTCAGTGTTCTTTGTTGTTTTCATTTTTGTCTTTGTTTTTGTTTTCTTCTGTTTTCTTTGCTGCCTTTCAATTTTCTTGTTTTATTTGTGTTTTCTCATTTGTGCTGTCTTCGTTTTTTCATTTTCTTTGTTTTTCTTGTTTTTTTTCTTGGAATTAGAGTCAATTAGAGCTTTTGGGATACACCAAAATTTAACTTGGTCCATTGTCAAGAGCTGATTCCCAGAGTGCTAAAATACTTATTAACCTTTTTTTGGGTGTGTGTTTGTTTGAGATTATTGGAACCAAAGTTGCCTATCTACTCCCAGGTAACCTTTGCAAGTTACCCCTTCTTACTCTGTTGATGTTGCTCTTTCTCCTCAGCCTCTGTTGTTGTAATGGAAGTTACATAGTTGGAAAAGTTATAGGAGAACAACACCAAACTGAAAGCATGAGACTTTGAACCAATTCCCTACAGGGCTAATGTCAATAGCTTTCATTC